CAATTTTAGTGAATACAGCGCTTAACCAAGGAGGTTTTTATTGGAGCCGGCGTTAACTACGGAAGATGGTACCCAGGCAAGGCAAGGAAAAGGTCCAAAGCATTGAAACATTAACACAAAAAAAGGGTGACATACTGTGCAGAGTCACAGGATGAAAGACCAAGGCAAGGAAAAGTTGAGTGGAAAGATCCAAAGCAACTAAAGAGGAGCACAAAAATGGGTGACGTACTGTGCAATTAAAAGCAGTCCAAGTTTAAACCAAGCAGAGTCACAGGATGAAAGGCTAAGGCAAGGAAAACTTAGGTGAAAAGGTCCAAAGCAAGGGAAGAGGAGCACGAAAAAGGGTGACGTACTATGCAATTAAAAGCAGCTCAAGTTTAAACCAAGCAGAGACACAAGATGAAAGGCCAAGGCAAGGAAAAGTTGAGTGGAAAGGTCCAAAGCAAGGGAAGAGGAGCACAAAAAGGGGCGACATACCATGCAGTTAAAAGCAGAGTTCAAGGATGAAAGGCGAAGGCAAAGAAAAGAGTCTGAATGAATTAAGTGGATGTTAGGATAGAATTGTAGGCAAATGTAGGCAAGTGTGTGTGTGCGTGCTTGGGAGTGTTGAAAATGGTTGTGTTGCTATACAAATAAACTATACTCACAACCCCAGGCTGCAACTGGTTTGCTGAGCTGGCATCACAGGTTTCTCCCAGAATGGACAGCCGACCCTCAGAACACACCTAACAATATGAAAGGATAATTAGTGTGATGGAAAAAAACATCCCCAGGCAACACTGAATGACCATAACTAATGATGAATCACACAATTCATTTACCTCATTGATTGATTCTGAAAGGGTTAGGCTCTAGAAAATTCCTTCTTAAATGTACAATGTACTTGTAGCATGTTACACTTCAGAGTTCTTAACATATATGTGAGGAAATGAAAGAGTCATGTAAGTTGTAAAGCAAGTTGCTTGAATAGATGTACAGAAAGTTAGGCTTTAAAAGTGTTACTGTTAGCATAATGCATGTTATGCCATAGTTCTTAATACATCCAAGAGGAAAGAAAAATACATAAAGTATTGTCTCACCTGGATAGGTACAAACTTCTCATGCTGTGTCTTCAATTCAAATTACTGGTTTGCTGATCTTGTCCGGTTTGCACAGTCAACTGGCATCATAGGTTTCTCCCAGTCAAGGCAGGTGAGGAATATCAGGAAACATAAACTACCTGTATATGATTATGAAATAATAATTAGTATGATAAAAAAAAACACATCTCAGATAAAACTGTTTTACCATCAAAGATAATCATAAGAATTAAACGGTTCATCTCTTTGCTTAAATAGCTGTAGAAAGTGTTTGGCTATGGAAAGGTGTTTTTAAATACATTACTGGCTGTATGGTATGCCTCAGGGTTCACAACAAATCAGAAAAAGGTGCGAGTTGTAGAGCATTTTGTTCCCTTTACAAACTCTCCACGGTGTCTTCAAGTCAACTGGTTTAATTCAAGTCCTCATCTGGTCTGGTGTGGACAGAAGTTGTCCATCATCACGTTTCTCCCACTAAGGACAGGGACGTCAGGACAGGAACGTCAGGACACACCTAACTAATATAATGAATAATTAGTGTGATGCACCCCCAAAAAATTTCCAGGCAACATGGAGTGACCATAAATTAAAGATTATGACAAAATCCTGCAATTCAACTATTCCTTGGTTTAGATCTGTACATGGTGTTAAAAGGAGTATGTTATTGTCTCTCATTTCTTAACACATAGAAAAAATAAAGTTGTAAAGCATTGTCTCACCTGTACAGACTCTTCACTCTGTCAAGTTAGCTGGTTTGTTGAGCCCTTGTCTCTAAATCACCCAATCTGGTCCAATCTTCTCTTGTCAGGTTCAGACAGGAGTCCACACTATTGTATCAGTCAGCAGCCACCTAACTATACAGACATTAGATTACACACTTGTCTCAAATAATACAAATGGCTGTAGGTACAATGCAGAATTCAGATTTTTCTCACCTGATATTCCTCTTGGGTTTTCAAATCATCTGGTCTGGTCCAATCTGTCTTGTCAGGTTCAGACAGAAGTCTTCACTACTGCATCATGATCAGTCAGCAGCCACCTAACTATACAGACATTAGTAGTTACACACTTGTCTCAAAGAATAGAAATAGATTATAAGTAAAATGCAGAATTCAAATTTTTCTCACCTGGCCAGATACTCCTACATGTAACGGATCACCTGGTGCCTCTGTCATCACAAGTCTCATCGCATCAGTACTGAACACCTGCACAGGTTGCTGACCCTCAGAGCACAACTCACTATGGGATTCTATGAAAAGAAGAAATAGTTTCTTCACCTCGACCAAAACTGTGCCTAATGACCATAAAAAAACGGGGATAGCGACAACAACAACAATAAAATGAATCAAACCCCTTCAACTGAAACTTTATGTAGAATTATATAAACTCGGCGCAAAATGTTTTAAAAACAGCAATTATGACCTTTTATCATATTCAAATGTAGTGTTTGAATGTGCATTTGCGCCACAAATACTTGGCCCTGGGCCATTACATTTACTGACATTACAGTCTAAAATTGAAACCAACAAGCTTTTAAATTATAGTATAATACATAATACATTTCAAATGATAATCAAGAACGAAACTATGGTCAACTTGACTGAAGTTTCCAAACGTTTTGTATTGTAGTTATTTCGGCGCCTTGAACCTTTTAGGACCCCATCTTGTTTACGCGTTTTTGGCGGTATTATCGAAAATATTAAATTATGTCCATTCCGCGTCACTGCGAATGTTTTTCTCCATGTTTGTAATACTCTTGAATTATTTAGAAGAAAAGAAAACTCAGTAACAAAAGTTCAAAATTTTTCATAAATTTCAAAATGAAAATTTGAATATATTTGAATTCATTTAGATATTTCTGAAACATTTTGAACGTGCATGGCTACACAAAGATCTCTTCATTTAGAATAGATTTGAAGTATCTACTAGTAACTACGTGTTTCTTTCAATTTTCGATATATTTAGAAATATTTCAAACAAATAACCAAATGGTACATGTAGGTGAGGGTTATAGCCCCCATAAAAGTAGGTGCTAATCCGACTCTTCTGTCTTCTTCTGTATATTTTATGAAGGCATCAATGCCTGACGCCTAGGCAGACTACCCTGTACTTCACAGGGATGTGTGAATTACTTCCTTCCCAGCCCACTACAAAATGTTAGAAATAACTGTAAATAATGGTTAAAAAATGGTAGAATGCTGTTAGAAATATTTAGAAACTATTGGAAATGTCATAATCCACATCAGGAATATTTCAAACGTTTTACAAAACCACGGAATTATTTGGAATGTTGAAAAGATATTCAAAATATTTCCAATCTATGAAATTTCTTAGACAAACAATTACCAAAAATTCAAAACATTTCTAAATGATGACAATAACAACCCACACGGTGACGCGGGCACATTCCAACAGGTGTTTTGAACCACGTGGAGATTTATAAAGAAAAGAAAATGGTTTCGTCAACGCATAATTTCTTTCTACAAAAGTAACTTCATACAACTGAACAATAAACAGAAAAGACATGCACATAACGTTAAATTCAATAGTAATACACATGTTGAAAATGTTGTTGAATACGCTGCAAAAATGATAGACTTTTTCAAAGCCTGTCTAAAATTAGGAAGGGTCGCTCTCAAAGTCTAGTAGTAATACTGAACTAGGTCATTTCTTACGGAATGCAACTTGACATGTTCGCACTACAGGGAAGAATATAGTTTACTGTAAATAATGTCAGCCAAACAAATTTGCTGGTTTACCTGCAACAATAAGCGAAGTCGTCTCCATGCCATGCTACTCTTCCCAACTGTCTCGCCATGCGCCATTTTCTTGTCTTCTTCAAAATTCGCCAGGTCAGGAAATCCGCATTTTTCTCTTCAAAACATCACCAGAACGGCACAAATCCACGGCGAAAACTCCCATGACATTCTGCTGCACACTTACTAAAACATTCTACCGACCTAACGAGAACATATTCCACTAATTTGTGGCAAGAAACCGAGACAAAAACAGCAAAATATTTAGCGAGTTTTTACACGTGCACTCCACCAGTTCTCAAAATAAAATGACCTTTGACACCTTGACTATACCATTGACAGAAGGGGTGAAAGAAGGCAAGATAAATGTTAATAGATGTACCAAATTGTGCAGCGAATCAATATAACAAGTGTCCATAGCCGACAAATCTTAATGAAATTTTATACTTTGCAAAAATATATGATCAACAGGACGACAATCATCTTACGTGTGTTTAATAGACTACCAGTATACGTACCCTGAGATATCAATGTATGGTTCCAAAACCTGGCGTTCAGCACCAAGGACAGTACTCACCGCCACCATGTCAGGCCAGGGTAGAAGTTAGTAGAGCTATTGAATAGACCGTGTGGCATGGGCTCATGCGTTGGCTGCTGAACGTCTACACAAAGGCCACTCAGTAGCGTCTTCTAGCGATTTAGCTCAGAAGCGCAGTGAACATTGACTAAGGCTGCCAGCGTCAGAGTATTTACATCAGAGAATGCGCCTGTAATTTATGGATGACATCGATCCTCTGAAGACCCCCAAACAAGTGCGCGCGGGCGAACAAAAGCAACAATCGACACTGTACGTATGTACTGATGAGTTCTTGAGTCGTGGAGCTTCGGTAGCCTGGGTGCAGTCCTCTAGAGTTACCACCGGCTTCGTTGTAGCTTACCACCATGGACTACCCGGGCCTAAAGCCAGGCCAGAGCCTCGGAAGATGTGATCTTTTTTTTTTTTAGATCAGGCGAAAATCAATGCGCGCGCGGATGTCATCCATAATATCAAGTCGGTGTGGCCTAAACTTGATATAGGTTCTTCAATGAGCATTTCGACCTAGCGGTCGTAGCGTGCCCATATTTGGAGTCCTGACTCAATGTCATGTCTATTTTGGCGTCTTGCCATTAGGTACAAATAGTGCAACGCCATCGCTTTCACAGGCACACACCTGGCAGAACCACCCCCAGACAAGACCGTCTTCAGTCGCCAGAGAAGCCGAAACACCACAACAAGATGCCTTTTCCCGTAGACAAGTTTTGCGGAACCTGGAAGCACGGAGATCATTCTGACAACTACCCTCAGATCATGGAGAAAATTGGTACGTGTACACTTTCTTTGTATGAAGTCGATTCCTGGTCAAGAGAGTATAACTATCGGCGACAGGCCACTGAGCTTTTGTTAAATCGCTGTCCGGATTTATATGTACACTAAACAATGGTGAATTAACTCTGACTCAATTACTGTGAAAGCATCGCAGACAATCATAAACCTAACACACCGTACCCTCATTTTTTGTCGGAAAAGACACGTAGTCCGCCATAGTTGTTAACCGTTCTGCGTCACAGAGAGTTCTCTTGCACAAACAAGTGCAACTTCATCGCCACTAAGAGTTGGTTATGCTAATGAGCCCGTGCGCTCATAGTTTATGTGACCCCTCCATAGAGTCAGTCCTAACACCGACTCCGTGTTGTAAACACGTCTGGAATAAAACTCCTCGTCTGCACTTGTCGTTGTCCGAGTTGTTCAACGCGTCCTTGGTCACTAACTGGCGCATGAATTGTTACGTTCCTGCTGTCTCATGCCACAACCAGAAAGTACCCAATTGCCTAGACTCAAGGGAGTAAAACCAGCATCGCTAAGTTTTAACATGGACAATAAAATTAGTGAATTGTACGTTCTGTTAAACTCAACTCAACTTCTTTTAATACGTGAGCTCACAGGACTAATTTTTAGAAGCTTACAGATGTTCTGTGTACAAAGGTGACGGTAGGGCACACAGATTCGTTACACATTAACAGAGAATTCAAGTCAAAGCCAAGTTTGTTGCACAACGATAACAGGTACAATGTATGGCGGATAATAAGATTACTAGTTGGTATGAGTCTATTAAAACTCTACATTTAAGTTCCCACGGGTATCATGTCTGGCAAAATGTTGAATAGAACTAACTAAGAGCTAGTACACCTCTACACGTATGTTCTAAGCTACTATACTATATTCCTAAATTAAGAGTACAATTAGGAGTTGTATACATACTATGCAGGTTCTATGAGTACTATACAGAGTGTCGACTAAATTACTGACCAAGATCTGTTACAATTCTACATGTAGGTGCTAAGCTACGTTTTGCTATATGGTTAACAAATGAGGTATTCTAAGATTTCTTTTTTTGCATGGCAGTATTGGCCTATATAAGCAGGGAATTTATCGGGTCATGACATAAATACGTGGAACGTCTCTCTAGTTGTATTGGGTACTTTTTAGTAGTGTTACATTTGATCATCTGCATTAATTTAAGTCTCTCTTCGTTGGGAACAAGAATGTTTTACTCCATTGATAGGGAAAGTTACCGGACTGGAGAATGAGATTGGATAGTTTCTTAAATGGTTAAACGAGTTTGTTAATACCGCATTTTTTTGGCATTTCCTTGAAGTTAATAATAGAATCTGTGCCACACGTTTTGTTGCCATTTAGTTTGTGTAGTCCTGCTATAATCTCTTCCTCTGAGATTCCAATATCTAATGGGTTTCCTGTTTCATTACCTCCGGGTAGGGATGTATCCCGTGCGCGGAGGTTTTGTGGGGGAAGACGAAAATTACGTTCGCAGCAGTTTCTAGCGTTTGGGTGGACGGATATGTCTGGGACTTGGTATACGTTTTGCTATTGGGCTGTAGATGGTGCACGTTGTTTTTGTTTTTTAGTATGTGTGTTTTAGTGCGTGAAAATGATGCGTTTTGACAGCGTATGGACACCCCTTGTGTGTGAAAGTGGTTTTGTCTTTTGGTTTTCGGCGTGTATAAAGTGTCGTAGGTTGCGTCCACATCTGGTGAGAGGGGGTTTCAGGTATCGAGTGTGAAAATGGTCGCGCGGGTCGCAGCCAGCCAACTTCCGGGTGGGCCAATGGGTCAGGGGTCAACGCCCTCTTGCGCAATTTCGGATGTTTTCTGCGTATAGTACGACTTCTTAAAAATACCGTGGTATACTGTCTCAGGCGTTCTCGACATGCATTTCGCGTTGGGGTAGACGGGACTCGGTGTATCTTCTGTTAATGGGCTGTAGATGGTGCAGGGTTTTTTTGTTTTATTACCTTAGCCAAGAATTGGAGAAGGTTATGTTTTCATGGCCGTGTGTGTGTGTGTGTGTGTGTCTGTCTGTCTGTCTGTCTGTCTGTCTGTCAACAGCATAACTCAAGAAAGCTTAGATGGATTATCTTGATATTTGGTAGGTGGGTAGGTCTTGATGAGAGCTCGAACTGATTAGATTTTGGGCCCCCTGGCGGCTTCTTATGGTACTGCAGCTGAACTTCCGGTTTTGATATCTCATGATCTAGACATGCTAGGGTGACGAAATTTAAATGGTAGGTAGCTCTTGTGCTGGGGAAGAAGTGACGTCAGTTTGCGCCCCCTAGCGGCTTGCTCTGGAACTGCAGGGCTATTGTTTTAAAATATCAAAAAGAGCATAACTCAAGAACCGGTTGACGGATCGTCGTGATTTTTGGTATGTAGGTAGCTTTCATGATGCTTGATATAATTATATGACAATTATGCAAATATGGATGTGATTTGCATAATTTATGGGGAGATTCTATAAACCAGCTGCATTCCATGATAAGACTATTGAAGCTTGTGAGATTGGTAATTGAGAAGGAGAGAAACACAGGCAGATATTGATTATGTATATGAGGACATAATTTGCATAATTAATGAGAAAATGTTATAATTCTGTAATGATGACTGTCTGGAATTTTTATACATGTGGTATGTGAAAGTTCAGTGAAGGTAAACATCATTAAACATAATATATTCAAATCAGGACCTTATTTGCATAATTTATGAGGAAACAATAGAATGGCACAATAATTTGTCATCCATAAAGATTAACATCATTTGGCGAAGGTATGAGATCGAGGAACTCTAAGTTGTATGTGTGTTTTGGGGCGTAAGATTATTTGTATTTCGTGTCTCGGACACCCGTTACTGTTGTTAGTGTGTGAAAATGGTCGCGCGGGTTGACCATTTGCGGTTACATCTTCGCCAATCAATCAGCACACTCGGCTCGGGGTCGCCGATGTTATCCTGGAGCTAGCTTGGGTGCCATCCCCTACCACGAGTGAGCGATAATCTTTCGGCCAGGGAAAGCCACACGCCCCGCCGACCCTGATTTGCGCCCTGGCTCTCCTCGCGTCCGGATCTGGCCGGGTGTCTGTACAGCCTCTCGACCGCTGAGTCCCTGTGTTTTCGAACTTCGGTGGGGATTTCCGTGTTGTTTTCTGATTTTCATCATCCACTAAGATATACTTGAAGACCGAGCGTGATTTGAACTAGTGTGGGATAAGTGGGGAGGGATGGCAGCCGCGGGGGGAAGCGGTCGGCTTGATAAATTTTCGAGAGCAAGTTGATTTCTCACGCGGCCGTTTGTGTGGGTGTTTGTTTACATTATCGCTGGTCGCTGAGGGTCGGGCAGCCAGATTCGCCACGGGATGCCTCCTGTCCTTTCTATTTTTGGGCTCCAGTCGGCTAGGGGGGATTAGTGATTTCACAGATCATTTAGCCAATTACAAACATTTCGAAACTTTTCGAAAAAAATGGTATTCGCGCGAATTCACTAGTTAATTTAAAGAACAGTCCCAACATGCACCCAACATTCTGCAACATACATTACAATACCCGGAGGTACAAAATCTACGATTTTCCTTGTTTTAAAGGCTGTTAATAATATTTTCTGTGTGTTCCTTATTTTCTCTGTCCATTACAGTATTGTCATTAGCTGTCTGCAGAAGGTCTGGTCTCTTATGGCCAATTTGGTGAGAACCCGTATTACTGTTAACTGTTAACCGAGTCGCTCAGGGATTCGAAGTGGGTTTTCCACTCTTCGGGACTAATCAATGTTATTGTTTTCAACAAGTTTGTCATTGTCTTCCTGTCTTTGCAATTCATCTCTCTCCAAAATTTTTGGGATTTGTTTTACTAATGTTATATAGATTCTTCCATTGCCTTTCCTTAAAGAGCTTTTTTTCTGTTTTAATCATGTTTTTGTAAGTCTTAAGGTTGGTGAAATATGCATGTCGGATGTCAAGTTTCCAGGGACAAGTTTTCATGCCCAAGGGCTAATATGCAAACAGACATTGACAAGAACAGTGAATACAAAATGTAGTGATATAAAACTATATGCTAACATGGAGGTCTACGTATACGGTCTACTTATTTAACTTATTATCTCTACTTTAAAACTATGTGTTGACAGCCACTCCAGAAATAAATGGCGTGTCTACATGTGTGACATGCGTTGACAGCCACTCTAGTGTCTACATGTACATGTGCTGTATCATCAGTCCCTTGTGACATGTGTTCACAACCACTCTAGAGTCTACATGTACATGTGCTGTATCGTCAGTCCCTTGTGACATGTGTTCACAACCACTCTAGAGTCTACATGTACATGTGCTGTATCATCAGTCCCTTGTGACATGTGTTCACAACCACTCTAGAGTGTGGCGAGTCTGCATGTATGACATGATGTGTTGCACCCCTGCAGACGTCACAGCCGAGAAGTTTAAGGAGATGAAGGAATCTCCCTTTCCCATCGACGCATCTCTGACAGGAGACAAGCTGTCGTTCAAGGTGGAGTTCATGGGGAAGACTTGGGTCACCAATCACACCCTGGAAGTGGAGGGGGAGGAGGAAGATGCGGTCACCGGCAAGATGAAAAAGGTGAGAAACGGATCCAAATAATATCAGGCTTCTGTACTCTGGCATGGAAGGAAAGTTTAGTGTGTAGTATTATATTATAAAAGTCATCTGGTTTGATAAGCCACGGAGCCATAATGTATTTAATGTAAAAATGAGATAAATAGCTGAAGCTGGACATAGCTTACTCTCCTTTAGCTGCCCACCCGAGGGTGACAGCTATTCTTCCAGGAGAGAGTATACACATAAACGTAACAATACATCAACATGTACATATATACATCAACATACACAATATGTACAGCTAAAATAACAGACTTAGTTGGTCCACGATACGTGAAAAGCCTTATAAGCTTCTTTTTATGCACTTGATCCATAGTGACGTCTGCTCTTTTGTTGTGAGGATGAGCATGTACTATGACGTATGACCGAATCGCGAAACGCCGGCAACAAACAACATTAAAACGAAGAAAAGAAAATCCTTTAAATACGCAAGATTTGCTCCTTCTATGGAAGTGTGCTTAAGCACTTGATCCATGGTGAAAGAACTTGATCAATGGTAACGTCTGGTCTTTTGTTGTGAGGATGAGAATGTACCATGACCGAATCGCGAAACGCCAAACAATATTAAAATTAAGATAAAAATCCTTTAAATACGGTCCTTCATAAGAATAACAATACTGAGCACATACTGAGAAGGACGTTAGGCTAATGAACAAGACAGAATGCACCAATCAGCACATCCGGCCAAAATCTGACCGAATATTTGATTTCCAGACGGTTCACATATAACTGCCTTATACTTCTAGGTCATTTTGTGCCAGTACGATTACTGGTACAATGTCGAACTGCATCACACACATGGCTGCCTTTGTATTTCAGACAGCTTATGAAATTCTGCTGAATAACTCTGTAATGGTATTGTGACGTTACGCTGTGTTGGTAGTCACCATTGTGAAATGCCAAATATACAGTACAGTAGCATTTGCCTTCTGATTGGTAAAAAAAAATAAAAACGAAAATGAAAAAAAATCTGTCAATAGAGCCCAAAATCCCACTGGTTAAAAGATTTAAAAAAAAGCCCAGTCAATAGTCAAATAGAGAGATAACATGCCAGTGGAGTTGGTCAGCTAGAGAGTACACCCGGGTCGCTATCTCATTAATCCATTAGTCAGTCTTGTTTATGGTCATGACCTCCTTCAGGGTGTAATAAGCAAATGCAGCACTGTATAGAACTGACGAACTCTTGCTCATACTTACTTGTCGAACTCTGTCCTTCAGGTGACCTACACCATAGAAGGAGACAAACTGATCTCCGTGTACCCTGACCATGACGGGAAGGGACTTGCTATGCGCTTCTGCCGCCGTTTTGTTGATGACGACACCATTCATGTGGTGAGTGTTCTGAGAGCTTTTTCAAGGATTTAGCTCGGGGTTTTCAACTTCAAAAATCTAGAACGTTTCAACAAGCACTTGTCTAACAGATAATTCATTCATTTATTTGTAGGATGTGAAAGCTGGAGATGTGGAGGGCTGGATACAGTTCAAGCGCTGCTAGACCGTCAGTAGACGTCCAAGGGAACGTTTAACCTCCATGAACCAGACAAGCTGTTTGTCAACTTTGCTTCGATTTTTGTAACGATTTGCTCTAAATAAAGAATCTGAACATGTATTGCTAATTGTTATACTAGTAGTACACTTTGGGTGGTATTTTACGGTGTATTGTGGATAAGAACCCAAAAATGCACGTCTTAGAGTACCTTGGAATATCCATGCATGGTCCCCGGCATGTAATAGGGTGCTCTAACCTGCTAGGATATATTTTATTATTGATTGTAAGAGTTGCAGTGTATTTCCTGGGACATCCTGAGACATTCCCTGTACAGTCACTTTCAGCAGCCCTCTACTAGGAAACAGTGGGCGAGCTTTGAATGACACTTCCTAATGACTATCTTCCCAGGGGTCTAGGCCGGCACACGTCCTGACCGCCTGGCCCTAGCCTTATTTGGGCATGTCCAGGGACTGGTCAGTAACATCTTAAGAAAGGGAAAGGATGTGACTCAGGATGATTGTGATACAAAGAATGTAACTTTTTCCAAGAAACCTGTGTGTAGGCGGTGAAGAATATAAAAGCCCCTGCACTCATGTAGTTAAGTTAGTTCCCGTTTGAGAGAGAAGAGAATACAGACCACTTTCCACTTAGCTGTCGGCTCCTGTGTCTTTCTTTCGGGTCGTACATCTACAACATCGGCGGCTTATCTTACGAACTTTGTAAGGGCACCCATCGAGGCTTAGCTACCATCACTGTCCTTGACCTTGACACCCTTACAACCTTGCGTTCAGCGCAAAGGACAGTACTCACCGCCAAGCGTGTAGAGCTTAGTATAGCTACTGAAAAATTTCCTATAGACCATGTGGCATGGGCTTATGTGTTGGATGTGGAACGTCTACACGAAGACAACTCAGTGGCGCTTTCTAGCGATTTAGCTCAGAAGGGCAGGAGAAATTGACTAAGGCTGTCAGCGTCAGAATATTGTATGGCAGATAATACACCTGCAAACAAAGATAAAGCTAGTACCAAAGTTCATACCCTCTCTACAAAAAAGTCGTCAATTTAAGTTTGTTGCTAACTTTAGCTGATTCTGCTAGTCTTTGAAACTAGACGCCGATATTCTGCCCCCATAGACAACAAGAACATGAACTACTAGTAACATGCTTTTGCAATTGTCCTCTTTTTATCTGGGAGTAACGAAGATTGGAAAGGCATGAGTATTTAGAGCATTAAGTCACTGTTCATTGATATAGGTTCTTCAATGAGCCATTCGACCTAGCGATCGTAGCGTGCCCATGCATATTTGGTTTCCTGACTCATGTCTATATTTGTCGACGGACACACATGGGCATTCGAAGCATCAAGTCATTGACATTAATTCTATTGAGTCATTGGACATTCAGATTGTAGCGTGCCAAAATTGTCAATTTGGTTTGTTGCTAGCTATATAGCTGGTTGTGTTCGTTTTTGCAACTATACACGACGCCGTAGTCGGCCATATACAACAAGAACATGAACTGACATCCTTTTGCAATTGTCCTCTGTTTTCTATGAGTAACGAAGATTGGAAAGGCATGGGTATTTAGAGCATTAAGTCACTGGTCATTGATATAGGTTCTTCAATGAGCCATTCGACCTAGCGATCGTAGCGTGCCCATATTTGGAGTCCTGACTCATGTCTATATTTGTCGTCTTGCCTTGCGGCGTCTACCGGCACAAAGTACAAATAGTGCAACGCCAGCGTTTTCACAGGCACACACCTGACAGAACCTCCCCCAGACCATACCGACTTCAGCCGCCAGAGAAGCCGAGACACCGCAACAAGATGCCTTTTCCCGTAGACAAATTTTGTGGAACCTGGAAGCACGGAAATCATTCCGACAACTACCCTCAGATCATGGAGAAAATTGGTACGTGTACGCTAAGTTTATTCCTGGTCAAGAGAGCATATCAAACCATCGGCGACAGGCCAGAGAACTTTTGTTAGATCTCTGTCGATTTGTCTGTACACTAAACAACGGTGAATTAACTCAATCCTCTGACAAAAAGCATTGCAGACAATCATAAGCCTAGCACACTGTCTCCTCAGTTTTTTTTGGTCGGAAAAGCAACGTAGCCTGCCATAGTTGTTAACCGTTCTGTGCTGGAGTCACAGAGAGTTTGCTTGCACAAACAACGTTAACGTAACCACAACTTCTCAAAACTGAATTGTTCCTGCTGTCTCATACGACAACCAGAGAGTACCCAATCGTCTAGACTCAAGTTAACATGGACAACTGCAAGTTCTGTTAAAAAAGTAAACAACTCAACTTCTTTACGTGAGCTGACAGGACTAATTTTGGAAGCTTAAAAATCTACTGTGTACAAAGGTGACGGTATATATATATATAGCACACACAGACTCGTTACTCATTAACAGAGTATGTATTCAAGTGACGAGTGTTGACAGCCACTCCAGAAAGTATGGCGGGTCTACATTTGTGACATGTTTTGTATCTTCAGTCCCTTGTGACCTGTGTGTGTTATTATAACTATTACTACTACTATTATCAGTATTACTAGTATTGGGGCATAATCACAAGGGTCTGGAGCGGCTGCCATTCGGCGCTATAACTCAGGTGACCTCAATACGACCCCAGGTGCGGCCATAGGACATAGATATATGGCGAGTCTACATGATGAGTGACATGTCCGTGCACATGAATAGTTTTGTCAGGTTGGTGAAAAGACTATTTTTACACAACAGAGTGTTTCATTCACAGCGGACGTTTCGGTGACCGTCTATCACCTTCCTCAGGGCAGTTCTGACTGGTTCACATTGCACTGCAGCACAGGTGTCGCTGCTATAGATGCATTCCCAAACGTACAATGTTTACATATGTGACATGTGTTGATGTGTTGTATCCCTACAGGCGTCACACCCGAGAAGTTCAAGAAGATGCAGGAATCTTCCTTCCCCGTCAACGCATCTCTGACAGGAGACAAGCTGTGCTTCAAGGTGGAGTTACATTAACTGTAAAGCCTGTGACACAAAACTACATAACAGGAACAAAACGCTTTTAGCTGTATGTGTCCTGTTTTGCTTTCCTTAAATTTTCCTTCTTGGATCGTAGATATGACTCACACTTCAACTAGTTTCTTATGTATACACACTGTTTCAAACGTCTTGTAAAATGCCTTGATTTTACATTGTAAAAGTGGCTGCGCTCGAGAATGTAAGTTGTACCTAACTTCAGTTCACAGTCACTTAATCTGTGTCCTTTCTTTTGTATTTATCACTGTTTTTCTGAATAAAAAAAGGTTGAGTTCATGGGGAAGACTTGGGAGAGCAACTTCACCCTGGGAGTGGAGGGAGAGGAGGAAGATGCGCACACTGGCAGGATGAGAAAGGTCAGAAACGAATTTGGATAAGGCCACACTGATTTAATTTTATGGATGACATCCGCGCGCGCATTGATTTTCGTCTGTTCTCAAAAAAAAAAAAAAGATCACGTCCTCCGAGGCTCTGATCTGGCTCTAGACCTGGGTATTCCATGGTAGTTAGCGACAATACGGAGGTGGTACCTCTGAAGGATGGCACCCAGGCTACCGAAGCTCCACGACTCAAGAACTCAGTACATACGTACAGCGCCGATTCATAAATTCCGCAAAAAGCCAGCATGTGCCGGCTTGTTGTATACGTCTCTATGTACTGCCGCAAATTCACAATTACCAGCTTTGTATTCCTGTGGTTTAGTAGCATTTTTATTTTTGGCCGGAATTTTTTTTTATTCGCCCGCGCGCACTAGTTTGAGGGTCTTCAGAGGATGTCATCCATAAAATTAAATCGGTGTGGCCTAACGCAGATAACATCAAACGTCTTTGCTATGGCATGGAACGAAAGTTTAGTGTGTAGTAAAGAGTTATGTGGTTTAATAAGCCACGTAGCCATAATAACTTGAAATCTTACTTAGAGATCAACTTTTCAACGACCACTGTCACCTTCATCAGGTTAATTAATGACCTCTCAAAACGTAATCTCGCGAGAGTTACGGTTACAGACGCGTGACCTTATTCACACGAGATTTTACCGTTTAAGATTTACAAACAAACTTTAAAAACGAATGCAGCACTGTATAAAACTGATGAACCCTTGCTTATACTAACTTCTCAAATACTGTCCTTCAGGTGACCTACACCATAGAAGGAGACAACCTGATCTCCGTGTACCCTGACCATGACGGGAAGGGACTTACCGCGCGCGTCTGCCGCCATTTTGTTGACGACGACACCATTCACACGGTGAGTGTTCTGAGAGTACAAAAAAGTAGCTTTTCAATGATTTAGCTCAGGGTTTTCAACTTCAACAAGACTGGCAATGGAAACATTACTGTTGCCATGGTGACGGTGGTTGTTGGTAGAGTTGTTGTCGCTGTCCACTAAGTAGAAATGTGGGCATAGATGTGTCAGCGAAATTCCAGAGCTGTGAGAGTCAGTGAGACATTCCTGTGGTTCACAATGTCCAAAGGTTGTCCAGTAATTTCACTAAGCAGAAATGTGGACATAGATGTGTGTCAGCAAAATTCCAGAGCTGTGAGACATTCCTGTGGACAATTCATACGATAGGATAAAATTCCTAGACTTCTTGTAGATTGCACACAATGCTGTACCATTAGCCCCACCCCCTGAGGTGTTGACAAAAATTTAGAACGTTTCGAGATATACTTGGCTAATACTATTACAAATCATTCATTCATTCATTCATTCATTCATTCATTTGTAGGACTTCAAAGCTGGAGACGTGGAGGGTTGGACTCAATCCAAGCGCTGCTAGACGTCCGAGAGAACGTTGACCCCAGTGGACCAAACAAAACGACTTTACTTCGATTTTTGTAGTAATTTGCTCTGAATAAATCATCTGAACATGTATCGTTAACTTCAAGTGGTATTTTACCGTATATCATGCATGATAACCATAAAACGCACGTCTCAGAGTGCACTGGAATCCCCCTCAAAGTCCCAAACCTGGCGTTCAGCAACAAGGACATCGCACACGGCCGTAAGGCCAAGTCGCTACTTAGTATATTTGTTAGCATCTTCCTGACGCCCCCTAGCGGATCTTCGTTATGTACAGCGTTTACAGTACACGCGTTTACACCACACGCGTTTACAGTACACGCGTTTACAGTACACGCGTTTACAGTACACGCGTTCACAGCACACGCGTTTACAGTACACGCGTTTACAGTACACGCGTTTACAGTACACGCGTTTACAGTACACGCGTTTACAGTACACGCGTTTACAGTACACGCGTTTACAGTACACGCGTTTACAGTACACGCGTTCACAGCACACGCGTTTACAGCACACGCGTTTACAGTAAATCCTCAATCCAAGCGCTGCTAGACGTCCGAGAGAACGTTGACCCCAGTGGACAAAACAAAGCGACTTTACTTCGATTTTTGTAGTAATTTGCTCTGAATAAATCATCTGAACATGTATCGTTAACTTCAAGTGGTATTTTACCGTATATCATGCATGATAACCATAAAACGCACGTCTCAGAGTGCACTGGAATCCCCCTCAAAGTCCCAAACCTGGCGTTCAGCAACAAGGACATCGCACACGGCCGTAAGGCCAAGTCGCTACTTAGTATATTTGTTAGCATCTTCCTGACGCCCCCTAGCGGATCTTCGTTATGTACAGCTTGTTTTACATGGTAATTGGTGGTGGTGTTTGGCTTGTGCACATCACATGTGGGCTTATGCAAAGACTTATGAATAGATTTGTACTGAAATGTACAAAGTGACAATTTCATACAGCAGGAGCGAACATAGTGAAGCAAACCACGATCCCTACGCTTTCCCTAGCCTCCCCCAGGCTTCAAGAGGCGACTGGAAAGAGTAGAAATTGGCCAAATAGAGAGATAACATGTCAGGCGAGTTGGTCCACTAGAAAGTACATTTTGCTGCACCCGAAGCCTGCCGGAGGTCGCTACGATCAAACGGTATAAAAGTAATCCCCTCATTATTCCAACAAAACGACTATCTCAGTGCTGAAGATCATTTAAGCAATAAACCAACCAGAAAAATGGCAAAATTTGCGGCAAAATTTCTAGTGGACCAACTCGCCCGGAATGTTATTTCTCTCTAGTTGGCCAATTTCTACTCTTTCTAGTTGCCTCCAGAAGCCTGGTAGAGCCTGTGCAGAGTATTTACTATCGGTATTCCGTCCAGTGCCGCTGCCGGGGTCCTGGTATTTGCGTGATTCACAAAAGAGAAGCCCGGCTTTAGACTGCCTACAAGGATTCTTCTGTGTGACAAGGAAAGCTCCAGGTCCCTTCAATTATTTATCACTTCATGTCCTCTTCAAGCCGCTGTCTTAAGCCACGCCGACTTCTTTACAACCCGCTTACATTCGTCACACGACAGGTTTACGACAGAAAATAGAGGGCGTTTGGAGGACAGTCGCGGAAGGATCGTTAAAATTCGGTCTTGTGACGAAAAAGATTGTCGTAGATTTACGTATAGTTCAGTGATAGTTTTGCTGAAAATCCTACCTCAAAAAAATCATAGGACGCATGTGACGGCGCATTAAAACGATATAAGATTTTCACTATATTAAACATTGTTGTTTTGCACATTTTCTTGCGCTATAATCCTACCTGGGTTCATAATGGCATTTGGGGAGTAAAAGATCAACGTCGTTGCGCAGCAAAAACGTGTTACAAAACTGCCATCTCCTCAGTTTGTTTACCGCTGTTTGTTACGTTCTTTTTAGGAGCCTCCTAAAAATACATCGGGCCTGGCGCAGCTTATTCTCGCGCTGCGCTGAGTCACCGGAAAAAGTGAAATAACGACGCTAATATGTCGAAAGATATTGAAAATGACAATCTAGATGAGAAAATTTCAGTTATTTATATTCACAATTTTTGGCGCAAAAATCTTACATAATATCGCTTTAACCAGTAACCTCTGTTCCCAAACACCCTTCCTGACGGTTTTATAGTGTCCGTTTCCACCACAAATGATGATGCATGGCACTCGTTCCATATGGCGTTAATTTCCCACCACATTTGACAGGCAGGACAATTCCTCAACAATCTGCCGACAAAATTAATTCGTATGAAAACTGACGCCCCTTCATCACAAGTAACCCGTGCGTGTGTGCCTTGGCCTTCTTTTCACAAATTCACACCTCAACATTCGGAACACGAATTCAATCATCGTCGACAGCCCCATTGAAGCCACTTAAATACCGACGGAGGCCACTTAAAAGACACCTTTCCGTAAGCCTTAAGAGATACATACAGAACGAATTCGTTTGAAGAAGCCATCCATAAGTGGTGGTCTCTAGCTGGGAGCCTTTGAAGAAAACTAAGGCCAAAGCAAGTAAATTTTATGGATGACATCCTCCACAGACTCCGAATCTAATGCGATTGGGCGAAAAAAAAAACAAGACATCATCAACTTCATTAAACAAGAAATGATACCTATATTGTGGTACGTTTACTGACAACTATCACAACATAGGCCACAGCAAGTAAATTTTATTATTGGCATCCACAGATTCCAAATCTAATGCGATTGGGCGAAAAAAAACAAGACATCATAAACTTCATTAAACAAGAAATGATACCTATATTATGGTAGGTTTACTGACAACTATTACAACATCCATTTGTCACTTTGAAAAACAAGCTTTCAATCATTGTACAAATAGCTTTGGTTCAGTGGGAACATCTCATATATGCAATCACCATCACATATAAAGGGAATGAAATAATTCACTGCATCAAAGTAAAAGACAAAAGAATAAAGAGCCTTGTCTTGTCTCCTCTCCTCATATTCATCTACCATCTTCTATTCATCTGCCATGGCATTGACCACTGTCAGAGGGCAACAAAATTTCTTGTTTTCATTTCCAAAATCAGGCGAATACTAATGCGCGCGCTGATGTCATCCATAAAAATTACTTGCTGTGGCCTTAAGGACTGTTGAGTGACATTTTCGCGCATTACGCCCGACCGTAAAAAGGCTCTTCATGAAGGTCAAATTTCAAATACTGGAGGAAAATAACCGTGAAGTTGGGGGGTCACGTGACGTATGACGCACCAACGGAAGGCCGAGTGGGCGTAACGGATTTTTCTGACGTGCTGACGAGGCCGGAATTTGAAATTGATCCTCAAATTGATTTTCAACTTGACTAAACTTACGCCCCCTTCCTCTTGAAAAGTTGAAAACTCCGGATCCGCGTAGCTAACTATGAATCACTATTCCTTTCCTTTTATTGCTAACTGGACGACAATTATTTTACTCTTTTCGTGAGTGAATTCGAAGATATCCTGACACTTAAAAAGTTATCAAATTCTAGTACCGTAATTTTTTCCACATTTTTGCTCCCTTTCTTTTCCTAAGTGTCCCAAATGGAAAAGAATCAAACGGGCAAGTACAGATATCTCTCCCACGACAAATGCATTTGACAGTTAATAAAAAAACTGAAGCAATGCCCATTGAACAGCCTACTGACATGTCACATAGCCTTAAGTCTGTACACTCATCCCCCGCTGTCATAGTGTGTGCAAGACGGATTTCAAACTTGATGCAATAAAAATTGAAACATTATTCTGTTCACTAGAAACCTCCCAGTATAACTCATTTCACATTCGTTCCCTTACACCGCATAAAGCCCCGGCTTATCTAGCCGTTACGTTTGTAGAAAGGGCGTCCACGCTACAATACATGACATGATTACCGGGCTGCAGCTTCCCTTCCACCTGGTAGAGTTGATACGGAGAGTAACAATGGGCCCCCGTTGGCCCGCGTGACTCGCCGGTAAGTTGACACATCATTTTCCGCCCGGCGGAGTACTGGCGAATTAACCCTATCTCCGCGCACAAGGCGCCCGCCTGCGGGAATATGATGCATCGGTGATGCATTTCGGTCAGGATTCATGACATGCATCGCCGCTAAAACCAGATTTGCCGGCGGGCGGCTGCAGAAGGTTGTCGGGATCTGGAGGAGGGTTATTCTCTTCCGCGGACTCTTCAGAGGAGGACATCGGCGACTTCAGACGCAAAACGACGCACAGAATTTTCCTTCCAGGAACCAACTGCAACATCGGTAAGTATTTTTTTCAAGTCGTAATATTACGATTTAAAAAACGTATATTATATATACGACTGTATTCAAGTAATAACAAATAAAGATAGCTCAAGCATGAAGAGAAAACGTAGGATCAGAATACCTCTCCATAAGGGATGCAATTGAAAGTCTGTGCATTGAGAATATCTAAACGTTATCAAGAAGCTAGCCATACAAAGTTATTTTACAACTGAAAATCTTCAACTATATAACGATTGAAGCCTCGACTTTACGAGTGCAAATTTACAACAGGTATATCTATAGGTGACAGGGTATCTTCAGTTTTCATAGATTCGCACTGTGATTTTAAAGGATCCGTTTTATTAAAGCAGCCATTCTCACACCACTGCACTGTAATCACCGAGAGATCGCTCTTAATTTTATTGTGGTGATACATGAAATGAAAGTTACTGTCTGCATCGTTCTACCAGATGTTATAGCTTAGAGACAGAATCGTGCAACGAATTCGGAAAACACACTGGATCGGCAATACATACCTCAATATATACTAGCCTCCATAGCATGCCAACAGCTGTTTTTGGCGGGTATTAAGGGTCTTTGGGAGCTTTTATGTGCTATTTTCTGATTGCATATAGACAACATAGCCGGCCTGATTGAATTACCCCCGTTTTAGAACTGGGCTGATCAGAAAACAGCCGAAGACCACCAAACACCCAGTTCTATAAGCCTGCTACGGAGGCTAAATATATGCGTGCAGGCCTTAATATTTTCTACATACAGTTTTCAAATGCGTCTTTTAGTACGTGTCCTTGTTATTGTTGACCTAAAAACGTTCACGTCCAAGGAATTATGTAAATCTCCAGTTTGTACGATGTGAGATCAGTGAACGCTCTTACTGATGATATCGTTATCCTTGATGTTATAACTTAAGCTTTTAGAAGCACCGTCCAGGAAAATTGTTTCTACGTACTGCACAGAATTCATATTAACCGAGATCTTTCCTTTCAAACGCTACGAATCCAAGAGATTTTTTTTGCCTAGAGAGTAACGTCGGTTATGAAACGTACATTATAGTGTACAATATCATCGGTACAAACCTTTTTTTGTCGACAAAGTAATAAGATATACAGTTACAGTTATTACGTGAACAGGCACAAGAAGCAATTTCAGGGCAGCAAAACTGGATTTTCTGAGTCAATTTTCGGATCATTTTTGTGTTGTGAGTTGAATAAACCTATCCCATAGCATACTGATATCTGTGAGGCAAAAATGTGATGTCACTGACAGAACACGGTTGCTTGTTTTGTATCGTAGGCTGGTTCCTCATGTGACTTGTTTTCGTGCTATTTCGAACGCTTCAAGAATGAAATTTTGACGAAAACGTGCCCTAAAAAATTACACTGAATGTCAATATCAGACAGATTTCCTGGTCCAAAATATATTTCTTTTTGTTTTGTGGCCTGAAATTGCATTGGATGCCTTTCAAATCGACAAATATCGAACTCCCCATGCCAGCCGTAACACTGTAATTACCATGCTAATTTGAACCACTCCACACGCAATTAACGTTCCTGTCATTTTGCAATTAGTCTGACGCTTGTACAGGAGAATTTAAACCCACACGTCAGGGTTATTACACGATACATATCTCACTCACGGCGGATTACAGAAGCCTGCCAAAAAAACCCAGATAATATAATATACGTGATTGCGTATTCAGTGAAGTTCACATTGCGTTCTAATAAATTAAACTTTACTAGAGACGGCTTGCAAATCAATACACTAGAGACAAACATACGTTGATGAAATATTCTGTCGTACCAGGAAAGTGACAGACATTTTGTATATTCGCTGCTTCACTAACTGAATGTGTTTTAGCCATTGAAATATATAACGTTACAAGTACATGAACAGAGAACAAAATTGCCGAATGTTGCGTCATTCTTACTACTTTAAGAAGGGTCAATGCTTCATCAAAAACTTGGTATCTTTTGTGTTGCAAAACATAATAGTTTGATCAGATTACCATTCTTCTATTCTATTCTATTCTAAACTGCAATAAGGCTGCATTATGAAATAAAGACTAGGCTTTCTCTCCAACACTGGAATGAATTGCAAATTTCCATTACCTCCTTTATTTATTTCATTTGTTGCATTTTATTCGCTTGTTTCATATAAGTTATTAGTTTACCGTATGATTTTGAAGCACTTTACCAATATGTTATTTTTGCAATTAAGCTAATTGTACCTTTGTTTTCCTGTTTGTTATTTTAAGCTAATAAGTATATTTTGTAAATGTATATGTCCGCAGGGAACATTGAAAAACGCCCTTGCGGCGACATGTTTACCCTGGGTAAATAAATAAAAATGAAATGAAATTGGAGCTTACTGCAAATTTTCGGCTGACTCCTTCAACCTTGTTCACGGAACAGACCTACCATGAATACAGACGGGGGGCGACACAAGTTATCTGCCACGTATGACCCGCTACTACGGTCACGTGTCTCTGACGTCACGTTCCAAGAGTAAACGGGCCATACGTGCCAGATAACTTGTGTCGCCCCCCGTCTCTATTCATGGTAGGTCTGTTCCGTGAACAAGGTTGAAGGAGTCAGCCGAAAATTTTGAGTAAGTCTCAATTCATTCCAGTGTTGGAGAGAAAGCCTAGTCTTTATGTCATAATGACTTGTACCAACACAGATGAACTTTCATGCTATATGCAATAAGGCTGCTTTAAAAAGGCTTGTTATTTCTTACTTTTCATGAGCAGAAGAAGGGAAGATGAAGCTGGTCGTTCTTGTGCTTTTGGGCGTGGTCCTCGTTGCCATGGCAATGGATGAAGAACAGAAGCGGTGGCGCTGGGGACAGGACGGTACGGTATACTGATGACAATCTTCAATCTGTAGCATGCACTTTATATATATGTTCATATAAATCATGACATTATCCGACTTTTATAACCCATTACAATCTTACCCTTTGTCCCTTCGTGTAAGCTGAAAAGTCTGTTTTAGCTCAATCAGTTAGCTATAGAGTGCTCGCTTTGTAACCGGGAGGTCGCGAGTTCAATCCCCGGCCGGGTCATACCAAAGACACTAAAAACGATACATACTGCTTTTTCTGCTTAACATTCAGCATCTATGAGAAAGAGAATAGGAAGGTCAAACACACTGTAGTGCTTGCACAACTGTGTGACCCAAGGGCTACAGAAATGGAAATGGACGCCACCCCTATGCTCTGCACAGAGTGGAACGGGACCTTTTTCTCATTATTATTTAGTGACTTGAAACTGATGCATGGCTACCCCCTGTGCTTTTCTTCGTGTGTCAGTGTTAAAACGATTTTATCCGTTCAGGTACATGTACTGTGCTTCTCGAATAGACATAATGTGTTGAGCGAAATAACTGTTTTCATTAATATTTCTAAGGTCTAAAACCACCCCCTTGACACGATATTTCTGTGTTTTACAGCGTCCATGATTTCTCGGATGTCGTCCCCCCAGTACTACTGGTTTAGGAACAGGAGAGGGGTAAGCTGGCTTTAGTGTACTTCTCTCTTACTCTTCGTAAGCCAGTGTTTTTGTCATCCTGTCCTCTAAACTTGGATGTTGTCCAAGTCCTGTGCAGCTGCTGATTCAGTCGACTAGTCCTTTGATTTATGTCAAGTTGTTTCCAAATTCAGCGAGTCAACGCTTTCTGGAATAAATGATGCTTAACCCTCCTCCCCCAGTCATCCAGGCCATTCGTCATATGATTTTCGTTTACGCTCTGTTTGAATGCCAGGATTTCTGTATATAAGTAAGGACGGCGCCACAGCAAGTCATTTTTATGGATGACATCAGCGCGCGCATTGATTTTCGCCTGATTTGGAAAAAAAAAGGAATTTTGTTGCCCACTGACAGTGACCAACATGCCGAAAATGGGCAAAGATGTCTGTTGTCAACCGGAACGTGGATGGCTGATAAATTTGAACGGGAAGACAAGACAGGGGTCTGATTGATTGTTTTGTCTTTTGCTTTGATGCAGTGATGTATTTCATTCCTTTATATGTTATATGAATCAAAACCACTTGTACAATGATTGAAAACTTTCATTTTTTAAAGTTGTTTCAGTCGACAAATGGATGTTGTAATAGTTGGCAGTAAACGTAGCACAACATGGGTATCATTTCTTGTTTAACAAGGTTTATGATGTAAAAATTTGAAAATGTAAGATATAATCTTGTTTTTTTTTCGCCCAAGTACTAGTAGTTTTTTTCGCCCTGTCGCATTAGATTTGGAGTTTGCAGAGGACGTAATCCATAAAATTTATTTTCTGTGGCCTAATTGGTTATTTTGATGAACAAACTGCATGGATTTGGTGGAATTGGATCAGGATAAAGAAGTCGATTACGTGAAACCAATTTGTGCAGTCATTCAGAACTGTTTTATGGTCTCTTACGTAATTGACTTCCGGTGGAACGGCTATAAAACACGTGTAAACTACAATTCTCAGAAAATGTGAGTCAGAATCACACTGAGGCCACACCAATTTAATTGGTTGGATCTCGGATTTTTTTTCAGAAAAAATATGAAGTGACAGGAAATAAAAATGAATAAAAATAAATACAGGTCTAGGCAACCTATTATAGCCCCAAATACTACAATAGGAGCCATGGAGTCAACACAAGAGGCTGGGTTAATATTTAAACAATGAATTTTGAACTTTTAATCAAACCACTGTATTGATCAGATGGAAAAACTGCAACAACGTAAGGAAGACAAGGACTTTTCTCAACTGTTGGGAGCAAAATATGAATTTTTTATTGATTCAGAACCAGAATTTTTTTTTATTTTTCTTTGCAAATCAGAAAAAAAAATGAAGAGGCGAATCCGATAACCAACAAATTGAATTGGTGTGGCCTGAAGACTGTTCGTGCACAACTACCGGGATGAGTCACACTTAGTGGGCGGCAAACTGCCACAGGTTCCCCCGCGCTCCAATACTCTCATTTCCGCTCTCAAATCAAACTGTGCTAATAATGTTCCAGAAGTTTACAACCTACAGTACGCCATTCCGGTTATCGGTTTTACACCCACAAACATTACACAGAACTACTGTTCTCAATATGTTTCACTAACGCGATACAAATGTACTGACATGCCTTCCAGCTGGGTAATGTGTGTTATCACACATCTCCATACATGCCATCTGCCCTGTACTTAGACTTGTGTACATTGACGGATGGTCCGTCTTGTATCTGCACGTTGCAGGCCGCAATTGTCCTCAATGCGGTGGATTTTGTAAAGCCGCCCGAAGCAAGTTCAATGTTGAGAGCGCTGCGATAGACCTGCGTTACACTAACACAGCTTGACACACGGTGATCAGTATCAGTTTAAACCGGTACGCCCTGCCAGAGGGTTTTCGAATGGAAACTACAAACTTTCCCATCCAATATACCATCAGACTTGCACACACCATTTGTGAAACTATTCCTTATCATCTACATTCAGCTTCGTGAGAAGTTTGTTGTTGAGTACTAATGGTAGGTACTAATGGTATACTTAATGTAGACCTTTCTCAACCCACCCTATACCACAATAACAGGTTTAATGTTAAGTAGTAATGGTATATACCTGAGGTACTTGAGAAAAGTTGAGGAGAACCCACCATAAATACTGGTGCCAACGGCAGAGATCATTACTCCCACACACGCAGACATCTATAAGTCATCTATTGTGAAAGGCTCAAGATGAATGCTGCCATCACCCGTCCATTTTACTACGGCCATTCTGGAGCTTGAATTGAATAGCCCTCTTGGCTCAAGAGTACGGTGTTGCCATTCATTGGCACGGCTCACAAGGACAGGCACAAAATCGTCTTGATATCAAAGACCGGTCCTACGCGATCCAAGAAGGATCGCCACGACAAGCTTCGAATTCGTTGATGTGTGGTATCGATTTTTGCCTTCTTACAGCTACTTTGTTGAGTACCAATAGTACAGTATGTGTAAGTGGCATCACAACTCACGCCATCATTTACTGAGGCGGAAAGAACCAATATTGCGACAAGTCAGTCCAATCAGACATACTGTGGAACATTTAACCCGATCCCCTCTGAATACACAACGTAGGCCCGTTCAGGTGAGAAAAAGTCACAGTTCTCACGTACCATTCTTCTTAAGTTAACCCACCAACATGGCGGACACTAGAGTCACGTGACTGTAAACGCCTTATTGGGTACCCCTTATTGGATGTCTGCTTGTGTGCCCTTGCAGGGGGACGTGTGTGTGAGCAGCTGGGAGAAGTGTGAGTTCTGCCAGTGTTCCTGCTGCAGCAAGAAGTGTCTCCGCACGTGGACGTAAGTATGCAAAAATGGGATGGGTGGACATAGGGAATCATTAATTAAGAAAAGGCTACAAAAGTTCGTCAAAACATTTCCTTGGAGTCAATGGCGGCGTTGCCAAATACCTTAAAGGTGATACGATAGAGGTAACCATATGCAGTATTTGTGAGAATTGTAAACAGACACACAAACACACACTGACGCACATGTACACACACAGAAAAAAACAGACACACGCATACCAACGCTCATACAGAGATATGGACGCACACACACACAAGCGCACATACATACAGAGAGAGAGGAGAGAGAGACAGAGAGAAAAAGACAGAGAGAGACAGGGAGAGACAGAGAGAGGGGGAGAGGGGGAGAGAGGGAGAGAGGGAGAGAGGGAGAGAGAGAGAGAAAGAGAGAGAGAGAAAGAAAGAAAGAAACAGAAAGAAAGAGATAAAAAGAGAGGGAGACTGGACTAATGACATGGAATAACCCATGATGCATTGTTTCCCCAGGCCCATGCAGCGCGGGATTGACGTCACTGGTTGGTGTGTCCCGGATGACTGGGAGTGTGACGTCACCGAAAACTCCCTTCTCGCCAAATGCGTCACGACCCTGTGAAGTCACGTGATCGCACGTCTGTAGGCGTTCTACGCATGCGTCCCGAACTTTCATGTCATATCTCATGAAAGATACAAACAAAATGAAGCCTAGTTTCATTCGACCCTCACATGAAGCACCATAGCTAATAGTACGTAGACTTCCCTCAGATAATGTTCCTGAAATTCATTACACGATCAACGACGTAAGTTGTAAATGTACCGTCAGGCACATGCTGTACCATAGAAGTCCGCTAGGAGGCGAGAGCAACGTTTTACAGAATGAAATTTAGACTATCCTTGTAGAAACAGACCCCCTCTCCAAAACAATAATTTAACGTTTATGTATTTGCACGCATATAGTTGTAAATGTACCGACAGACACTTGCTGCACCATAGAAGTCCGCTAGGAGGCAACAGCAACGTTTTACAGATTGGCATTTAGACTACCCTGAAACAGACCCCGCTCCTCAAACAATAAAAAGAAAATGCATGGAAATTCAACGTTTACGTCGTACCATGATTAAACTTCGGTACACTGAATCTATATTTGCATGTTCATGACCACGGGGCTAAATGCATACATCAGAGTATGACGTTACATGTATATCATACTAAGTAACATAATACATAGGCCTAGGATAGAAGGATAAAAGCATATAAACAATTAGAAAATAAGAAGGCTTATTTGTTCACACTATAACGTTCTCATGATTGATTGTGTTCTTTTATTCCTACACAAGAAGGCTGATATGTGTTAGGTGATAAATATCATCGGGCAATAAAAACTCTTCTCCAGACATGGCTATGGTGTCAGTGATTTTTGGCGACGTCTCAGGGAGGAGCCCAATGGTACAGTATTGTGTGCAGTTTGCAAGAATTCTAGGAATGGTACAGACATTTTGTCCACAGGAATGGAATGTCCACAGGCATGTCTCTGACCCACATCTATGCCCACACCCTTGGGAAGACCTCTCTGCATTGGGAAGACCTTTCTGTGACACTGGGGCCCGTTCACTATACACTCAGGAGAGGAGTGCACTGTATCTGTCTAGACCTAACAGGTACCAAGTCTTCCAAATCATGAAATGATGGCAGTGCCATGCAAACAATAACCCTAACAGCAACCACCGTCGCCATGGCAATGTATGTTTCCATTGCCAGTCTTGTTACATGTAGAAACTCTTATAATATTATCTCCATTCAAGTGCATGAATATATTTATTTCTGCTTTCAATGGAGGCCCTGCAAATACAAATACACAAACTATATGATGATATGTACATAGCAAAACATATTTATTTTTAGTACGTCAGTTATTAAAATCGTATCCAAACTCATTGTCCTTATCCGTGCCAGGTCAGGGGTCACACAATTCTCTTACATAGTGTTTTAAATATTTCTCTTTTTTTTTCTTTTCACATCTTGATCAAAGTTTCTTATGGGGGCTATCGGCCTGTCCTCCGCGGAGTGGTGAGACTGACGTCATTCATCATACAGTGCGATGTTACAGAACACGGCGTCTCCGCGGACAACACACCTCGGACTTTCCTCAGATCCCTGTTGGCATATAGAAAATGTCAAAGTTATCAACCAAGAATTCAGGTATTCAAAAACTCATATTTTGCCACCAAGCACAGTTGGGGCATCATCACTAGAAAGCTTTAAACAACTCCTGTGCAAAGATAGGGTGTAACGGGCCGTTCGATGAAATATAGTTAGCTGTCGCCGCGTATAGGATGTGAAAATTACGATAGTTTTTTATATGCGAGAAAGCAAAGAAAGGAAAGACGGCAACATAATATTTGAACTGCAGCGCACCTTGTAATTCTCTTGCTTGTCGCCAGGCGGCCGCTGCGGGCCCTCGCTGTGAGAGAAGATGGACTCCTGCATCACCAGTGTCTTCAGGGCGAGACGGGAAGCCTCGAAGCGCCCTTTCACGGCTAGTAAAGCAAACAAAGCATGACAATCTGTTATCTGGCTCTGTGCAGCATTCAACAGAGCTGACAAACAGGTTTACTGCGTGGACAATACAGCAGCATACCCCTTACGTACTACCAAACCAGGTAATCATTATGTAAAAGAATGCCCAAGGGTACCTAATTATTTTCTTTCTTTGGAGGCAGTGGGTACACGTGATAACATCTGCAAATGCACACTTTTAAAGATTCATAGATGGGCGCCACGTCAGCAGAACGTACTGCGCCTGTGCGGACCCAGATTTTGCATGATTTTCGTTGAATTTTTGGTCAACGTTGCACCAGAAAAGTTTTGCCTGTTGCAGACGATATCTTTTCCGACACAACATTTGGAAACTACAGACGGGATGTGTACCTTATATACGCGAATACGACCTTATATAAGACGTTCTGTCGAAGTGCCATGCACAATACATTATGGGTTTCGTGCAGGTGCAGTACGTTCTGCTGATTTGTCAAAAGATGGAAGTTTGCATGTACCTTCAAAAGGGACGTTCCCTGTGTCCTTGGCAGACGACAGAGACAGGAGGAAGGCAGACGTCATCAGGACCAGGAGGGCTTTCATCGTAGCATCAGTAGCCAATAAACAGCTTTGTTCTGTAGATGAAAGAAAACGACGTTTCAGTTCATGTCGTAAAAAAACAGATGTATGTAACGTGAAGAAATATTGTGCAGCGCACTATCGAAATACAAGTTTCGTCTTCAGCTGTAGTATTGACAAGTGCAGCAAAGGAGGTCCCGTAAATTTCAGCCAATAAAAAAGATTTAAAAAAAAACACCATGATTTTCTTTTCACACGTCCACTGTAAAATCTTTGTAATACTTTCTGGATAGAGTCGACACCTTTTTGTGATGCCATGACAGGACACTTGTCTTGACACCGCCTGGGGGCGTGGCAGCGTACTTTTAAAAATCCCTCAAACTGTGAAAACTGATGTAAAACTCGTACCCAGTTCTGTACTCAGAAGTTCCATGTTGTTATTCATGTCGTAAAACACATATGTATGTCAATACATGTACAATGTGAAGAAGTATTGGGCAGCGCAGTATCGACATAAAAGTTTTGTGTTCATCTGTAGCATTGACAAGTGAAGCAAAGGAGGTCCCGTAAATTTCAGCCAATAAAAAGATTTAAAAAAAACCACCATGATTTTCTTTCCACGCGTCCCCTATAAAATCTTTGTAATACTTTATGGATAGAGTCGACACCTTTTCTGTGTTTCTTACGACAGGACACTTGTCTTGACACCGCCTGGGGGCGTGGCACCATACTTTAGAAAAATTCTCTCAAATTGTGAAAACTTCTGTAAAACTCAGTTCTGTACCTTACTCAGAAGTTCCCTGTTGTACCTAGTAACATTCAAAATCTGACTGAACCAACATAAAAACAATATTCTTAGTCGTTGCAACTTGCTTCTCATAATCACTATGTAAATCATGTAATGACCCAGTTTAAAGTGCCGCTGACGAAGCTTTAGCAAACAGCAGTAGTCCCTTTAAACCTTCCTTTGAAATGCATATAAGTTACTACACAGATAAACAACGCAACGTTTCATCAAATATTATCATATGTACGTTAAGCAACCTGCCCTTGAAAAGTATATAAAAGTTTGCACTAGCAGTTGTGATTTCTGAAAATATTCTCTCAAAATGTGAAATCTGCATCTGTAGACTGATATATACTTGTAAAAATAGCATGGTATATGTATAGCATTCAAGTAGGTGCATATATATCTACAAACGACATCCATACATACCTACAAATGTAGTACAATGTCTTTATATCGAGTTGTGAGCAGCAGAACTCGGAGCGCAGTGCAGGTGCGGCGATGTCAGCAGTTGCTGTGATTTTCTGACAGTTTCTGGGAAGGGATCACCAACAGTGGACAAACAACAAACGATGGACACGTGTTGGCACCTCTGCACCAATGACAACGCAGCTTTGTTAATTAGGCCACACCGCCTTAATTTTATGGATGACATCTTCTGAAGACCCCCAAACTAGTGCGCGCTGGCGAATAAAAAACATTCCGGCCAAATATAAAAATGCAACTAAACCACAGGAAGGCAAAACTAGTACTGTGAATTTGCGACAGTACATAGCTATATAGCGACGTATATACGACAAGCCGGCACATGCTGGCTTTTTGCGGAATTTGTAAATCGGCACTGTACGTATGTACTGAGTTCTTGAGTCGTGAACCTTCGGTAGCCTGGGTGGCGCCATCTTCCAGAGTTACCACCGGCTCCGTATTGTTGCTAACTACCATGGATTACCCAGGCCTAGATTCAGGCCAGAGCCTCGGAGGACGTGCTTTTTTGTGGTGAGGACATGCGAAAATCAATGCGCGCGTGGATGTCATCCATAGAATTAAGTCGGTGTGGCCTTACTGATCTCTGGCCACTTGCAACTGGTGTCTGCAAAGCGCCTCCAGATATGTCCTTTTGTCCTGAACACTCAATCCTATAATCTGAGTGTTTATGCGTTTGAATGATTGCTTTTGTCTTGACGAAACTATGAACAGAGCACTAAAAGTGCGTGTTTGAATTCACCGCTTCTTTTAGCTGATGGAATTATCATTACAATATTATAGAATAGAAGCATATTATAGAAGACATTAGTAATCAATGCGAGACAGTGCTACGATATATAGTTTTCTACTTGTTTGGGCATCAGAATCCCTGACATACTTTACACAGTTGTCTTACAACATTCTCAGTGCACGAAAATGACGTGTATGTCCCCAGGGCTCAGTGTGTAGTGACCCATGTCAAGACACTGTAGTCTGCACTGCTAATTACATGGTTCACAATATCACCTGGATTTACTATAGGTAACGTTGAGAACATATTCTTGTTGAGGATTGAAACGATCAGTATCAATATCAGTTGAATAGGCCATAGTTATCGTCCAGAATTCTTTTAACCTTACCCAATTTCCCCATTTCCAAAGGGCGAACTTTTGAGGGTCGCTTTTGTAGAATCCCCTCACAGCGGTCAGGGGTGGTACTGCAGCATATGCTGTCATACATGTATCGTATTTCATAATATGTTCGATTCGCTGTATTGTCACAACACAAACGCTAGCACACCGGTGCACACTCTTGTGGACTATGTGCAAATCATTTCGTACATACTATACTATAACATTCACTAACACATTCACATATATGTTGACAGCTACAGGAGTCTAAATCCTCCCTATTATAAAATTGCAACATAATGTAACCCAACACCAGTTACTATGGTGAGAGACAGTCATGGTTCAGGCAGAGATCACTGTTTGGAGAAGAAGAAGAAGAGGAAACGTAGCAAAAACAATATGTTTTCCTTCGGTAAACATAATTTGGTTCAAATTAATGAGATACACGTACACCCTATAACCTTACACGGCCTTACAATGGGAAGCCACGTGTACTCATATGCAAACCTGACACGCTATTGACGTTGTTATCTAGAAATAACATTGATATTCTCGGAAAGAATCGACCGGCAGCAGCTTTTGACATCATGACTGTATATTCTGTAGGAGCACTTTAATACAGCGCATTGATTGTTCCTGGAACATGTTATGTGTAGCCTAGCCTGGTATCCAGCCTTATCGTGGCTCGGGCGGGTTTTCCTCGGGGCTGCAGGAGCTCTTCCCCGCCTGCTTCAGTTAGGTTTCCCGGTAGGTATTTTACGATGGGAGATTGAATCAACTCCCCCTGGCATGCCATCTCTTTATCATTAGCGTAACACTCCTGCCTGGCGGCTTGTTGTACTGGGCGGGGGGAACTATTAGAGCCCCGAAGATAGCCTGCCCCAACCACGATAAGACTGCATACTAGGCTAGTAGGAGCCAAGAGATTGGAGTTTCTATTTCTGGGACGTACTATTTACCATCCATTGCATAAGGTTGAGGCTGGTTTACCGGCCTGGGGTGGCCTTACACGGCCTTTATACCTTACATCTGTAACCGCGCGTGTTCAAAGTACACTGAAACTCATATAATCCCCGTTCCATACATGGTAACACTTTTATATCGATATGGACACAAAACAAATATATGCCTGGCGGCCGGAGAACACACGTACAACAATATTTCCGTTCTATGGTACTTCAAAATGAAACTAAAAGCAAAAATAACGATGTTGTTTTCACACGGTATTTTATCCACAAAAGCCCCACATTATTGTTCTCCCTCTTTCTGTTTCGTTCTTTCTTCGGCTCTTTCCTGGGAATTTTCTCTCATTCTTTTTATCTCCTATTTTGTTTCTTTCTCCCTCCCTCTCTTGAGCTCCCTGTGTCTAGTCTTGTAACAAACCATTTTGCTTTTCAATTTGACTATTTTGTATAGACTTCCATGTCGATAATTTGTGGTTCGTCCCCTCTTGTATGCTTTAGCCTCAGGCAATGTAATCTGCTTTATTCAGGTGTTACTTAATAGGTGCAGTGTACACCTCCTTCTGCAAACATGCGTATCTTTTTTTTGGAATTCGGGAAGTTGGAAAATACTGACCAACGAAAGAGCTGCAAACATACATAAATGGCTTTTATTGGGAAATAATAAATTTGAATGTAAAAGGCAGACGTGTCTCTAATATTAAAGCTAATCGGTAATCTCCGTATCATTTGTCTGTTGTTCTGAGTATAATCCAGGTTAAGGCCACAGCAAGTAAACTTTATGGATGACATCCTCCGTATACTCCAAATCTAATGCGATAGGGCGACAAAAAACAAGGCGGGCCAAAAAAAAGATTCTTACATTTTCAAATCTTGACATTATAAACCTTGTTAAACAAGAAAAGTTACCTGTACTGTGCTAAGTTTACTGCCAACTATTACAACATCCATTTCTCACTGAAACAACTTTGTACAATAAGTTTTCAATCATTGTACAAATTGTTTTGATTCAGTGGTATCATCACATATACACAGCCAGCATCACATATAAAAGAAATGAAAAACTGCATCAAAGTAAAAGATAAAACATTAAATCAGAGCCTTGTCTTGTCTCCTCTCTTCATATTCATCTGCCATCCACCTTCCGGCATGGCAACAGACACCTTTGCCCATTTTCGGCATGTTGACCACTGTCAGAGGGCAACGAAATTTCTTTTTTTTTTCCCAAAAATCAGGTGAAAATTAATGCGTGCACTTATGTCAACCATAAAATTTACCTGCTGTGGCCTAATCTCCGTATTATTTGTCTGTTGTTCTGTGACTTAAGCGTGCGTGTCTGAGTAATTGCGACAAGGGGAAGTCCCATACAGGGGAAGTCCCCAGAAGTTGTTTTTGAAGATTTCGGCATCGCCAGTTTCTCAGAAGGATTTCCGTTACTGAGAATCTAGGTGAGCCAAATCTCTTAGACAAAAGTCACGATATTCTGGCCAGAGATTTCTCCTGTCCTGAACAAGTGGTCGAGCAAGGGAATGTTATATAATGTCAAATTGGTCGACGTCTCGATATAAATGCTCTAAATTGAAAAACACTGCGGCAACTAGTAGTACTATGCTTAAATATGTATTAATGTGTACGTAAATTGATCCTTTGGTATGTTTCAGCGAGATGAAACATCTAGTGAAAATACGCTATAGGAAACATGTCTAACAAGGCATAGTGCATATCTAGTTTCCCCTTAATTGTCGTTTCATAAGAATGTATAGTATAAGTACTTAAGTATACCTGAGGTCAAGGGTTCTAGTCCCAGTTCACCCGATACTACAGCCTACTCAAATCCATTCTCCCATAGCTAGTTCGATGTGGCACAGGGATGCGATTAGTCTCAATCAGACCCCAATAGGTTGCTAGAAAACAGTAGAAATTGGTCAAACATAGACTGAGAAATGTGTCAAAGGAGTTGTGAGCCTGCCCAGAGAGTACAATTTGCAACCCACACTTTAAAGCAACCCATTCGGGGCTCTATCTGATACAGACTAGGAATGGATATGGCACACTACGGTAATATACGGGATAATTGTATACATTTCTCTTCGACGTCATACAAACGGAACCCTTTTTACATCTCCCCTTATCAGCGTGAATAAACATTTTAAGGGAAAGGTAAGGGTGCAGGTTTATGTTAAGCCTGGCCACACGCCTAGGTAAACACGGACTTTGAGATCTAAATATTGGCCGCAGGTGTGTGGGATGAACGTGATACCATGTCTGTAGTGTTTCCTGAAGTATTACCCAGGCAACGGCCACAACACCGCAACGAACCGCGGGGAAAACCTGGCTTCGTCTGGTTTCATTTTTCCTTTCCTCGTGAAACAGAGACTTTGTTGTTCCACCAGTTAATCGGGTTAGAGTTCATCTTCCAATCAGCTCACGGTGTCGTTCAGGAGAAACTGACGTAATTGGTAGGCGGTGCCCTATACCATATAAGGTACTGCATGCCCTTTTACCTGCACCAAAGAAAGACCGGCTTTACTTTTCTTCCTGGAATTCTGCAGTGGCGAGATGGGTTTACCTGGAAACGCGTACCATATGTGGCAGGCTCAAACAATTGGAAGGGCAAGGAGGTTAGGTGGGTTAAAGTTGATCGTCAGTAGTAATAACTTGTACACAGTTCTGGGAACAGGATACAGCGATCTTAAATTTTCGTTCGCGTGCAAGGCGCCGTCAGAACTTCAACCGCAGAGGGGACCGCAAAAGCAGCGAGAGATCTTTCAAACGTCTGTCTACTATAGTCGTCCCGCGTCTCAATTGAAAGGCTGTCAAAAGCGACCGACCGAAACCTTCGGAGACGACCCGGTTTCGCCGTCGTTAAATAACGAGCAGAGTTTATGGGACTGTCAAGTCAAGTCGTCTGACAACCCTGTGCGTGTCGGGCCTGATGCGTGGGCTGGTCCGTAGAACCCCTGCCATATTTCTTCTCGACTCTTCTACTAAGCTGGCACAGGAGCCAAACTCTGAGGCGGGTTGCTTACATTCCCCGGTGCAGCGGTAAGCGTTATGAAATGCGTGTGGCTCTAGTGGCTCACCGGCTCTCAAGGGGACCCACTGATGACCTTCAACTTGTTTCCTGTGCCAAGACTCTGAAGTGGCCAACTTTTCCTGCCTTCCTGACCCACATTTGTGAGTGTGTCACTTCAAGGACTTGTTAAAACGTTGTGCGGTGACGTTAAGGAGGAGTAGGGATACCCTAACATGACCGCCGGGACTCCCTCGCCCACTCGCTCGGTGGAGACCGACGCCAGCACCGAGCTAGATTTACAGCGGATCGGTAAGACCGTGCAAACTTTACACGCGAGCTGCTGGTACTGGGAAGCATTGTCGGGGAAGCAGGCGAAGACTATCCTCCGTTCTCAGGAGGTAGGGACGTTTTTAATACGAGACAGTGAGAACTGTGCCTTTCTGTTCAGCCTGAGTGTGAAGACTACCCGAGGGACAACTAGCGTCCGGGTTCAGTACAAGAACGGGCATTTCAAGTTGGACTCGGACGTCAACTCGGATACGCCGGAATTTGACTGTGTCCTGAGACTCATAGACTACTACAGGAGGGACTCTTTACGCGGAGGGGAGAAACATTACTGGCTGGAGCCGTCGGGGAGAAGAGAAGTCGTGGTGAAGCTGCTCAAACCATTGAGACACTCCGTGCCAAGTTTGCAGCACCGCTGCCGAACACTGATAAACCTCTACACGTCTAAGGACGACATAGGGCAGCTTCCCTTACCTCCAGCGCTCAAACAATTTCTCAGGGACTATCCGTACAGTTACTGAACAGTTAACGCAGAGGAAAAGGACTGAAGGCTTCCAAGATGTTGCACGAAGGCAAAAGTGAAAGTTGTAAATTTCCTTCCTTTGGGTGTGTGTTTACTTTACACAGTGGCACGGGTATCGTTCAAAGTACAATGGCGACGTTGTTATTGCTGGACACGCTCCAGCGAGTTTTCGGAAGATTTCCTCTTTGCTGATGAATTTGTAAGGAAAGTACGTGAATGTATACGTACGTATATACGTATGTGGGGAGATTATGTAAAAGCTTATACGTCAACCGTCTTGCTATCGACATGATTGCCTTTTAAGTCTTCTCGAAATCGTACTTACGCAATTGAACGTGCGCAGTGAAATGTCAGTAATATGAATGTACCGTATGATATGTAAACGTAATATATGAAACCTTTTCTTGATACATGGATTCTTCTCTAGTTCTTTCGCCAAATATCCTTGTCAATAATCTTTGTTTAATAACAAAATCCTTGATAGAGAGTATGCTTACACAACGAATGTAATTTGACCCGTCACTTGTTTGCTGACTTAATGTGTCCCCACCCCCTTTCATTTTCGTTACCGTCACGCGCCCTTTGACTATGACAAGCTTAATTAAGCTTAAAGGACAAGCCCAACTGTTAAAATTTCGTAACTTCCTCAGGGCATCTAAATCTTTTCTATGATCTATACCGACACAATTTATTTTTCTTGCCATATCAGGGCTCGAAATACTGGGTGCATATGCACTTTAATGCAGGTAAAATTGGAGCTGTGCAGGTATTTCTGATGTCTACCACCTGCACCTAACCTGCACTGGTCCATGTACTGGGTATATGCAGGTTAGTGCAGGTAAAATTGGAGCTGTGCAGGTATTTCTGATGTCTACCACCTGCACCTGACCTGCACTGGTCCATGTTCTCGGCTTATATACAAATGAGAGTGTACGTGGATTTTTATTTTCTGCATTCACTGTTACAACCTTTAAAGTGTTAAAGAAACAATGGCAATGGTTTCTGAACAGTTTTAGTATGATCCATACTTCTCAAAGTCTAAGTGGTTCAGGTAAAATTTGTCTGGTGCAGGTAATTTTCAATGTTACCTGTACCGGTGCAGGTACGTAGGAAAAAGGATTTTGAGCCCTGCATATATAATTTCCAACTGCCGCCCTGCGAAACTGGAACAGTTCCGTGGCTCCTATTCCACGGTAGAGGGGGTCATGTAATTGACACAGAAATGTACCTGCGGTTTCACCGTCGACTTAATGTGGTAACGCTGTAACGCCCACAGTTACAAATGTACCAGCAGTGCCCCACAAACTATGCGTGTACACGCTATAGCTGTCTTTCTTTAACCTCCAAGCAAATCTTTTGGTGGCTACGAGACAGTATGAAATCGACAAGGCATTATGGCAATATACTACCGTTTGGCCTGCGAAAAAGGGGTATATCGGTACAAAAAGAAAAGCCCAATTAAAACGCCTTACACATGTCATAGCAAGCCTAAAGTCTAAACCTCTGCTTGGCCGAACTCCTCCTACAGTTTGAGTATCTATAAAAAAGAAGAAATGCTTAATCTATTTTGAATGTCACATTTTCTTTGCCATAGTGTCACATAACAAACGACAAGGCCGCAAGTTTTTTTCTAGGTCGAAGGTCAGCGTCCCTTATTGTGTGGTGGCGTGAAGTTTCGCTGGACTATCTTGGACTCAATGAAACAGGAACTCGAATCTCTATATAACAGTCTTCAGGTTAAAGAAACAGCTTGATTAAAGAGTGTTTTGTCAATCCCATCAATTTTCTACCAGTGTATTGACTTTTAAGCGGGTTGAAAATTGAAACTTCCTCTTTTGCGGTTTGCTCAAATAAACACACGCCCACTACAAGCACTTAAGCAAAATTTACCTCTCTTAAGAGAGGTAGTTTTGCTTGAGGATTTGAGTGAGTGTGTGTAGTTCTTATGGGTACGTATTCATTTCAGTTAAGTAGTCAGGAAGCATTTCTAGATTTCTGTACATGTCAGCTAATTGGTGTGTAGGCGTAGAAACTGAAGAGATTCAATGGCTCTGGTGACACACATGTCAAAGCCACACGTCGAGTTGCTGCCACAGTGACGTCAAACCACTTGTTTTCAATGATCAACCGGCCTCCGATTTCTTCCCAACCTATTTGAGGCCTCCCGGAAAAGAAACTAGCCTCCACCAGGTCCTCCTACGGGAGTAGCGAATCGTAGAATTCGGCAAAAAAGGAAGAATAATTCGCCAGGAGAGTTACTAGTAGTCCTCGGGAAGCTTGATTTCCCCAGATTTCCACCTAAGAACTGCGCGGGCGAATAAACTCTACAAGCTTCCACGGCTAGTTATTCTCCCTATCTGGCCAAATTCTACTATTTTTGAACCCCTGGAGACTAAAATTAGCCCGTAACAGGCAGTATTCTTGCAGCGACACTTGTACAATACAACACAATACGGACAGGTGAAACTAGTAACGTTAACTTGTGAAACTGAACAGGTGAGTGAGCCTTCAGTCACGTGACTTGCTACCCCATGGTGCAACGCGGCCGACCCAGGACACTGCAAAACTCAGAAGGGGGATTTCCAAAGTAAAGATATCAGAGTTCCCGGTTTTCTTGTCTTCTGAAAGTGCGTGTACTGTTCTAGAGGCCGTGGAACGACTGATTTACTCTGTTAGAGGCGAAGAAAGCTGTCTTCTACAAGGACTGGGGCCACAACACCTGCCAACCGGAGACGCAAGAAGTGGGTATAGTTTACTTCCGGGTTTCGAACCCATGTACTGTGTAAAACTTCCAATGTCCTGTAATAGTATGTTCTCAGGGCTTCTGGTGGTTTTGACATGTGTCAAACTCATTCCCCTGGTGCTGAACTAATTGACACAGACATCAACGGTCGTGACCTGTAAAGTGGATGCAATCAGAACTCAAAATGTCAGAGTGTGTCGTAATTTTCACGTCCAGTCCACAGAGAGGGGCGAAAGGCAGATTAATCATATTGGGGGACAGTATATATGATATAGTACCTCTTCTCTGGCTTTGTCAGTGTTTAGTTGCACTGTAGAGACTGGGGACACTGTAGGAGACCTGAGGTAAATTTCTATCTTCAGTTATCTTTTGGAAACACTAGTAACGTTAGATAGTGAAGAAATAATTCTATTGAAAGTTCTATGATGTCACCATGGCTCGTAACGGTGACTCATACTACTACATTTTGTACCTAGGGGTTTCCCAAAGCCATGTTTGAGTTTGAGTTTTATTCAGATCCACAATTAGCCTCATAAGAGGCTATTCTTCCTGTGGTCTACACAGCCATGCTGGAAAATATCTCATGCAATTCTGTGTACTAAAGAATTGGTTTTTTTTTGCACAGAGAAATCACGAAATCATTGTTTACTTCAACTTTTTCTCAAAATACTTTGTGTAGATTGAACTTCTATAGGAGCTTCTTGCTCTCCAAAGATCAGTGAGAAGAGACAGGACTCCAGGGCACCTGAAGACCTGATGGTTGATCTACAGCTGTAAAAACCACCAGGCTACTGGGGAGGTCTGTGTGCATTACTGGGGGCATGATGGCAAGTGTAAGTTCAGGTGAGGACCTAACATGTAATTCTCATTATCAGGGGGGTAATCAATGTCAGTAGTTGACAGTAGTTGACAGTGGTTGAACAGTGTCTTCTGAAGCTGACAGTAGCATTTCAGCAATTGCCAGTTGCATGTCAGTACTGCCAAGACAGTAACCGTCAGTAAAGGTTCAGTCAGAGTAATTCATAGGAAGCATCAGTACTTGTCTGTTGCATTACAATTGTAACAGTTTTTTTTGTTAAGCTGCTTTACTGAATTGTGTCTGGAATGAGACTGTCAACGACTGATCAGTTACTGACAGTCACATATCAGTATTGGTGGTTTGGCAGGCATAAGTTCAGGTGAGAGCCTAACACCTGAACTTGATTATCTTTGGTATACATCATTAAGTTCTTGTCAAGCCATGTTCCCAACAAACCCCAGGCTGTACAGTAAGAGAAAACATCCCCCATGTTTTCCCACAGAAGTAGCGATGTTGTCAGATGTGTGCCTGACACGTCTGGCTGATGAGCTGGGTTCAGAGAGCCGTAGTCTGGGGATCTACCTGGGTCTCCCCAAGGTGAAGGTGGACCTGTGTTTCAACAATAACCCATACAACATGGAGGCAGCCATTGTGGACATGCTGACAAAATGGCGTAACAGAACGACAGACAGGGGTGCTGAGGCACAGGTGAGCGATATGAACCTTTATATCATACCTGGGCTGTGATAACCTTTAATAATGGTCATAGTGTGTCATAAAAGTCGCAAATTCACAATCCCAGCTTTGTATTCCTGTGGTTTAGCAGTATTTTTTTCTGGCTGGAATTTTTTTCTGGAATTTGCCTGCGTGCACTAGTTTGGGGTTCTTCAGAGGATGTCATCTATAAAATTAAGTCAGTGTGGTCTTATGAGCTTTCATGCTTATATCTAGCAGGTTATTCACTACTGTGCCTCACTCTTGAGGATATAGGCTTTTCATATGACACCATTGGCACCATACTGAAAAGCCAGTGTAATATATTATGCTCGAAACAAACATTTGTCCTTTCTTACATGCAGGTTGGCCAGCTGGTCCAGGCTCTGAGAGACATTGGTCGTGTGGACCTGGCTGAGAAAGTCATGGATGGAGACTTCTTGGGTAATATTGCTAATTCCATGTCCTTCTGTTTGATTGGTTTTGCCGGCATTCCAGTAGTGACATGCAGCTAAAGGAGGGCCTGCGTGGGGGGTCCCGACGTACAATTCTCTACGTTTTACCATAAATTCCAGGTAGCTACAACGCATAACATGGAATGAAAACGGCGAATTATGCTCTACGCAAAATGCGCCAATTATGCTCTTCATTAAATTAGAGCAGTCCGTCTATGCTCTACGTAGAGTTAAAACGGCCAGTTATGTTCTACGGAAAAGGGCATGTGGGCCCCCCTAAAGCTGCCCAACTAGCCAAAGGCTAGAGTACATTGTAACTTTGTAACTGACAGGTTTCTGTAATTGCATAAACTGACATGCAGTTATATTTCTCTAGTCTCAATGATAAGTATGGTGTGCTCTCTGTATGGTATGCTCTATAACAACATTGTGGCTCTCTTGTAGGTGTGAGAGAAAGCAAAATCATCTTCTCTTGGCTTTGTATCGATTAACTTTCTACTCCCTAGGGAGCATTTTAGCATCAACTTTGTATTGGTTATGGGTTATGAAGGTTATAGAACCATGCAGTCTATTATACATTGTGTATACTACATGAATGCTGATTATAGTTATCTTTCAACTGTCTGTAGTTCGTGGAGGTGGTGGTACACCTGTCCAGGAGACTATGAATATGGACTTTGAGGAAAGTGAGAACATTTCATATCCAGTCCAGGCAGAAACAGGTGAGTGATTTGTACACTTGTTGTAAAATTGACCCTGGACCCTTATGTTTGAATATGTGGTAATGTTGCCCTGTTTGCCCTAGATGCTGCTCCACCTGAAGGGTCCAGAAACACTCCCTACCATGGCATCCATGTCCAGGAGACAACCCCTGCAGCAGGCAACAGTCTGAGAGCACCTCTGCCGGTACGTACAGGCACAGCAGTGCCCCCTTGCAAAGCGTAAATGTACAGCAATTTCCAGTCAGGTAGAATACACAGACTTACAAATGTAACATCTCTGGTCTCCATACAGTGTTTCATGGTTTCTTTTTTTTACTATGTAGATTGTACTGTTTTCCGATTGCTACAGTACAGTAACTGCATTTATTGCATAGAAAGCAAGAAATTTTGAAATACTTTTCAAGGGCATTGTAAATTGTTTCTCTCTTTTTATAAATTTTTCCTCCAGACCTACCCTTTGGGACGGATGGTCGGCAGAGCTTTGATCATCAACAACATTGACTTTCCCGCAAAGCGCCATGAGAACCGTAGGGGCATGGAGAAGGACAGTAATGACCTTGAGCAGGTTCTAAAGATGCTTGGGTTCAAGGTCACCACAAAACTGAACCTTAACTCTAGAGTGAGTAAAGCTTCTTGTCATTTCTATTACTAACCCTACTAGTGTAAAACACAATTTTATGCAGTAAATTAATTCAAAGGACTACCTATGAAAAGCAGCCAAAATTGGTACCGTACCTGTACAAACTAGTGTAATGGGTGCTTGGATGTCATATCTTTCGTGAGGATATGAATAGGGGGATCTGAGATGCCTGACGTGCTAGCCAGGCCAGGTAGACAAGCAAGGTAGCCAGAAACCGTAAACCCGCCAGAATTCTATATACATTGTACATCAAGAGTCAAGGTAGGTCAATGTAGGCCAGGTAGACAGCAAGGTAGCCAGTCCTGGCAGGCACCCAGGTTTTTTCGTAAACCCGCCAGAATTCCATATACATGTACATCAAGAGTCAAATAAGGCACAGATAACTCATAATTTACGACTCTACCATTCTTTTCCAGGAGATGAAGAAGGCCATCCGTAAGTTTGTGGAGACAAAAGACCACAGCCACTCCACGTGTCTACTGGTGTCCGTCATGACACACGGCTCTGGTCCAGACGCCATGGGCACGGACTGGCAGGGTGTAGGGTTACAACAAGACATATTCAGCCCTATCATCAGGTCTAACATCTCCTGTCCCAAGATCTTCATCATGCAGATGTGTAGGGGAGGTATGGAGGCTTACGTATAAGTGATGTTGTAACTTTTAAAATCAAATGTTTTACACCACAACCACAAGTATAGTTAAAAGCAATCTTAGCAGAAAAAAGCAGAGAAAACATGGTGAAAAGATGAAGCTGGAATGAAAAAATCAAAGTACATCATTGAATTTCATTGAAATCTCCAAGCAGAACTTTTGATGGCCAAAACCTGCATCCAAGTGGCCAGTCAGTATCCAACAGGCTACCTAAGATCTGCTTGGAGATTAAATCATTAATATCAGTTACAGATTTGTAGTCTCTGTTCTCTACTCTTACCTCAGGTGAGCTGGACTTTGGTCAGTGGAGGACAGATGCATCCCGACCCAGTGATGACCCAGAAGATGAAGACAGTGACTTGTCTCTGTCTGATGGTGAGATGGACGATGATGATGATGATGTAAGTTCTCCTTTCTAGTTTGACTAACTTCCTCCTTCCTGTCTAACCTCAGAGTAAGCCATACAAATTAAGTTCTAAAGGGCTAATTCTGCGGAAATTAAAAGAAATATCAATATTATTTTTAAGGACAATATTGCCAAATATGAATCATAATATGTTATACGGGATATACAATTGATGATGATACAATGTAACTTAGCAGACCCTAGCTATCTGATTGGTCACAGGATAGTAAAATTACAACTGCATTGTTGCCAAGAGGTAACTTACATGTACACATGGTGCTGTTTTTGCTTTAGTTACCAAGAGAGAGAATTATAGAGCTTTTAATAATTGAGGAAAATAAAACTGATACTGTAACATTAGTACATGTGCAATGCTTGTGGGGGAAAATTTGGGACTGGCAAAAACTGGCCATCTTAGACCGTTGGTCGTTTTATGGATGTGGCTGCTGGACCAAGTTCGACTGTATTTTGATGCATAAGTATACTCTTTCTTGTGTATTCCAGCTGCAGGTAGACTGGGTAGAAGTGGAGCATAGCCTCCAGCCTACAGACTCTGACTCCATCATCTTGTTTGCCTGTGCTGAGGGCAGGAAGGCACTCAGGCACAGTCTGGAGGGGTAAGGCAACTATCTCTGGGCATCTTAGTTTCTTATCAAGAAAAACCAAGCAACCAGATAGGGGTGAAATCTTAGAATTGAATATCACTTACCCATAGTTTGTATTGAAGGAAAACTGGATGTCCACACTTCTTTCTATTGCCATCTGCACTGTATAGCTTAATGCGTGCAAACATGAATTTGTAGTAACCTGTGCTTAGCCCAGTAGGGTGGTAAAAATGTACAATAACGGTCTTCACTCACTCGTGGTACTTAGAAAACCTGTATACAATGTGCATAATGGTATTGTCACAACCAGTGGCAAATCAGCTTTTTTATTAGACTTGGACAATTGCTAGTGACTCAACCTTTGATCCAATTTCTACAGTACAGTTTAACAAAGTAAAACTTGCATGAGGACACTAAATATATTTTCAGTGTCACTAACGTGTCAGATTATGGAGCTAGAAAAGGTCGATCAGCTTGAAATATTTTGGTGCCTTGCAGGCCGGGTCCACACATGAAATGGCTAAGGTCTGCAGTTTTTTTCTAGCATCGGTCGGGAAACAGGAAACACAACTTTTTTTCCTAGGCCTTATACATTTTCTCTCCTGCAGGTCAGTTCTGATTCAGAGCGTGGTGAATGTGTTTCACGAACACGGCCAGCAGGAGGACATAGAGACTCTCTTCACACGCGTGCGACACGCGGTAGCCAACACCGACGCCAGGATAGACGTGGACGGATCGCTGCGCGTAGTGAAGCAGGCTGCCGAGACACGAGTGTTCCTTCGGAAAAAACTCTTCCTTCAATGTCAGCATTGACTGCTGCAACCAAAACACTAGGGGATAGTGCTGTGTACTGGTTGGCTGGACTGGATCCGGGCTTGTAAAAAATTAGGTTAAAGTAAAAAAAAAAAAACAACCTAAAAGTCAGGAACCGATTCCGGAATTACAAAAAAAATCCATGTCACATACCCCTTTTTCTTTCCAAACCACCTAAAACCTTCCATGGATTGCAAAATCTGTGCTGCAAAATGAAGAAAACATTGCCATTGGGCATCGTCAAATGTCAGCCTCCATGTTATATGGCCACAGTTTTTGCACATGCAACATTGTCAACATGCAATTTTATATGTCATGGGTTAAGGTCCGGACTTACCAGTCCAGAACTGAACCTAAACCTCTGGACTTGAATCCAGACCTGAACCTAAATGTGGGTCTAGGTACGCAGCACTACTAGGGAAGGGAGGTGATCAAATGACTGTATGATAGCCAGTGATTGTAGTAGTGGAATTGCTGAAGTTGGGTACTTTCTGAAAGGCCTCTGGTATTTGATAAAAAAACAAGGGCTATGTAGATTATGTTCTACTCAGAGAGAAATCATGCAAATTTTACATACTTAAAAGGAACATTTTAATGATCGCTTATGAACTACAAGTTTGCATATCCAAAATGTACACAATGTAAGGTACATTTTTAAAATCCCTGGATCCTGATGTACCTTGTAGAGGTAGAGTCAGACTACTTAGTACATTCAAGTGACAAGAACGATTTTAACACTACGTGAAGTAAGAAATCCTTCTTGTGCTTTGGACACGTTTTAACATTTTAAGTCTATATTCTTCTGAATGGTTAGTAAGGAACCAAAGCAAAGGCAGACCAAAGTCTACCATAGTCCAGAGGGTTTGGACATGTAGTGGAGGAAATGTTAACAGAACAGATGGTTGAATGAGAGGTTGTGTGTTTTTATCTTCCTGGATTTCCTGGTATGATGGCAATGCAGTTGGTAGAGTCCCACAGCAATGACAGACTGTGCCCTGCAAGAGAGTAAACAAACATGTCAACAAACACCAAAATAATTGTATCAGTCTTGGATTAAAGCGATATTATGTAAGATTTTTGCACCAAAACTGTAAATATAAATGAAATTTTCTCATCTCGATTTTCATTTTCACTGACTTGTAACATATTAGCGTCGCTCTTTTTTGTTCGGGTATCTTCGGCAGCTTCCAATACGTTTTTGCAGCGCAATGACGTTGATCTTTTACTCCCCAAATGTCATCATGAACCCAGGTAGACTTATTGCGCAAGAAAATGTGTAAAACAACAATGTTTATTATATAGTAAAAATCTTACTGACATAATATTGCTTTAAACCCAGTTTGCCAATGTGCCAACATTAAAGGTAACAATCTGGAATGGATGTTACTTCCAAAGAAGAAATGAGCACATCACTCACAAACCATGTACGTGAAATGTCGTGAATGCATTGTATACATGTAGCTCTGTTGAGTGTACACTAAACTTTATGTAAACACAATATTGTACTGGGAAATGCTAATGTGACTGTTGGATGTAGACACTATTTTGACAGCTTAATTTCAAAGCAGATTTGTTGCTACTGAAAGTTTTGCTCTCATTACGAACCTCTGAACACGGCTTCATTGGTCATGACGTGCACCCCTCTGGCATACCCCTGTGGTATCATCCATCTCTGCTGCATCTTTCGGGACATGGCACGTCCGGGATTCCACACTTTCCTGAAGGGGGGTTCCAGTACAGATATATTCTCAGCATTAGCATTATCAATGCAGCACACCCAGTAAGATATTGCTGGGTAAAAATTCAAGGACATTTCAAGAGAAATGTGCTAATGGCACAGCTGTGAGGTGTATAAAGATACAAAAGGCTTGCCGTTTGACAGATACATAAGACTTGAATAAAAGTGATCATTGAAAGAGCGAAAGAATGCTTTTGTGTTACCTGAGTTGTGCTTGATCAAACTCCTGTAGAGGCTGGATATCCCTGGTCTGGTGGTGACCTGCACAAATTGAGGAGGAAGAAATCAGTCTATCATAGTCAGAAACTATTTTTCCTAACACTTAGAAATGCTGAAAAAAGCGACTGTCTGAAAACTCAGCCAGCTGGGATCTTGATTCATAATACAGTAATTCTAAAATTGTAAGGTGTAGGCTCAGTGACCATTCTACAAGAGAAGCATTAAAAACACATGATCTGATGTGTCTCCTAGTTACAAATAACTAAGAACACCCACCTGTGTTGAGATCCCATGCTGCTGTAAAGCTGGTCTGGTACAACTTGGGGATACAACTTTTTAGGAAAAAAACAGGAAAAACCAATTCAAGCACCATTTCTGAGCTGTTTTAAAAGTAGTCACACTACTATTCACAAAGTCTGGATAATATGTATAGTCTATCCAATAATTACTACAATGTATTGGAAAATGGAGTTTATATTGTAACTGATGCAATAGTGCATAATGCCTTCAAAGTTGGTACTTACTTGCCATAGTGTGGTCGAGCTCGAACCAATGCTAGAACCAGCACGACCAACTGTCTACTGTCAGGACACACCTATAGACAAGGTAAGAGTTATTCTACTGAGTATTGGGAACATACAGAAGAACATAACACTCACTGTACTACATTCAAGTATTGAGAATCATTAAACAATAAAAAGCACATTCCAGTATTGTAGACTTAGAGAAGCAAAATAATAAATCACATTAAATTCTTACTTCTATTCTCTGGCATATGGAAAGCAACAGAAGTGGTTATTTATTGCCAGCTTTTTAGATTATTTATCATACTTACATCAATGATCTGCATGTCGTAGTCTGTAAAGGCTACAAATCTGTTCCCCCACTCTGCGTCCTGCCGTGCCATGTCACAGATCACCTGTTCTGCATCCATCCGTAACTCCTGCACCTCCACTGAGCCAGGCTGTAGGAAAAATGGAGAACAATACCAATCCATATCAGGAGTGACATTTTAATTATCATAAGGGATTTTGGAAAATCTAATTGACTTTAATCCCTATATTTGGAGCTACATATATTGCAAAATGTAATGTACAGTTTCATATGTCAATTGTCCTATAAATGACTTCTTATTCTGCTATTATAATAGTAAAACAACAGAGAATACTGCAAATACAGCTAGTCATACAAAATGTCAAACAAAAACTTATCCTTGCTCTCTTTTGTAACTGCAAATGGGTAACTATATTTGTTCAAGGCTGCTGATTAATATTAACTAGTAACACCTTACCTGCCCATAGTAGGTGCTCCCCTTGTCCTCCCCCATACACAGCCTCATGGAGGAGTATCCTGCTCCGTGTACTTCCAGTGGTAACATGGACTGGTACTCACTGCCACTCTCTCCTGGAACAAATTGTTCAAACACACAACCATCAGATTTATTGTCTTCTGTACAGGACTGTTTCTTAAAGTGTAGAATACAAAGTCTAAAATACATGTAAAATCCAAAAGAGATTTGCAAAAAGCAATTTATCCTTGCATCAAAGTGCTACTATTTCTGACCTGCGTCTTCAAAATGGTCTCCATTGCCAGCTGTGCTATACACGTACTGTCTCCTAGTGAAGGTGAAACATGGTGACCTGCTGCAGTCCAGCGCTGTGCTGTCCCAGGAACTGCTGTCAGAGGCAGCGGACAGCAGATCTGATGGCTGCGCATAACCTTCAGGAGTCCTGCTGTTCACAGCTGTACATGTGCTGTTCCTGGTGGTGCTGTCAGAGGCAGTAGACAGATCTGAAGGCTGGGAATAACCTTCAGGAGTCTTGAGGTGCTGGGCTGTGCTGTTCCTGCAGACAGCAGGAGACAGCACATCTGAGGATAGCTCACCATCCCTATTATCCAGTAGTGCGCTATCCATGGATAGTGTGCGTGTATGTGCTGTTTGTACTGTACATTGCTCACTTGTCCCTGGAACAGCAGTTTTCTTTTCACAAATATCTGTGAGGCCAGTTCCCTTTGCAGAAGTAGTATAGCTTTTTCTTTCTTCACTTTGGCTTTTATTCTCTTTGGCACTGAAGCATGGACAGCAATTGGTAGATTCAGAACTCGACAAACCATTGCTACTACTAGTATTTATACAGGTGTTACAGCTGTTTGCACCTGTGAAGATATCCAGACGTGCAGCACCTGATACATCATCTGCAGAGCTGTCATCAGCTGCACAGGTACTGCACCTGCCGCAAGTGTCTGTGACACATGAACCTTTGTTCACACTGCCAGCTCCACACTTCTGACTCAGATCACCAACTTTGTCCTCCACATGTTCTTGGTTCCCTGAGTGTACTTTCATGTTAAAAACACAAGAACTATTGCCACCTGAGCTCTGCATTTCCAAATGCTTGTCGAAACATAAAATCTGGTCCTCACAACTTGTAGTTGCTGCACTATTCTCGCATTGCAGCTTTGCATCAACATTGCCATCAGCTCTGGACTCAACAATGGACTTTTCTCTGTCTCCGCTTTCTGTGTGAATGGACATGTCCCCGTCTCCCCCTCCACAGAGAATGGGCAGTTCCCTGTCTCCTCCAGAGAGAATGGGCAGTTCCTTGTCCTCCCCTCCAGAGACAATGGGCAGTTCCCTGTCTCCCCCTCCAGAGAGAATGGGCAGTTCCCTATCTCCCCCTCCAGACAGAATGGACTGTTCCTCTCCCCCTCCTACATGAATGGACTGTTCCTTGTCCTCCCCTCCAGTTTTGATTGACAGCGTGACCAGGGAGTCAGCTGTATTGAGGACGATGACCCCGTCCAGCTTGAGGCTGACTTTGGGGTGGAAGGGCGGGAACGGAGGGGCCAGCTCGTACTTAGTATGCAGCGTGAAGCTGTGTCTTAGACACCGTACAGGGACAGGTGTGCTGAGGGAATCTTCAGGGTCTGGAAAGGCAGAGCTGACAGGTTAACTTCAAATACTGTTTAAAAAATGTCTCAGATCAATGAATCTTACACTAACATCCTACAACATTTGTTAGACTTGCCTACAAGCAAACATAAGTAAGACAGGTGCTCACCTGGTGGATCCAGGTGCTGAGGCAGCTGCAGGCAGTCCTTGCAGGGTGCTGCAGGTGGAACAGCTGTCACAGTCACGTAACACAAGCACTTCTCATCACAGCTGGGAGTGCTGGCACCACTGTGGTAACTACAGAGAAAGTTGAAAGTTGCTATTATATATCAGTAGCTAGGCAAGCAAAATATAAGATCTAGAAGTCTTGGGTTAGATTCCTGGCATTCCTGGCAAGACATTGTGTCTTTCAGAAAGGCATTATACATGACTTTCATCACCATCTAGGTACATGTACCTGACTTCAGTTGGGGGGAGGGGGTAAAAGGCAGTGGATGGGCTCTGTCTTTCAATGCAAAGTGCCCCTATAGCCTGAAAAAGGCTATGGGACTAACTTTTTTTAAACCTTTATTCTGATGACTATTCAAGAACAGTATTCTGTGAAAAACATTGTGATCTGTTTGTACCAAAGAGTCAGTAGCTGCCACATTTGCTAGACGTACTTTGTTCTGTGTAGTAGTCACTCCTGAACCCAGATCCCTAACCCTGAAGACATACCTGTATCCATGCACAAGTACTTTATTATGGTCTGTTGGCCACTGGCACACTAGCAAGTAGATGTCTGTTGGGATCTCCTCCTCTCCAAACAGTCGCACCTGAGACACCTGGAAGAACACAAGAAATATGAAGATTTCACTAAACCTGGGACTTGGAAGTTCAACACCTAAGAAAACATAATTTCCATTGCAAAACAGTACAAAGAATTACTAGTACTAGTACTAGCAGTATATGCATCCTGCCCAAATATAAGACCAAAGTGTCTTCTTTGCTATATAGTAAGCTGATATACCTTGTGTAGTTTGAAGTGCCGCTTTGTTGTTCCTGGCTGCTCTGGTGTTACCGGCCGCAGCACCCACCAGTGTAGATGGTACTCATAATAAGGGTACCCTGTGTGTGCCTCTGCCTCCATCAGCTGTGTGTAGGACAGGACAAACTGCCCATCTTTGGTGAAGCCCAGGAACACATGGCTGCCAGAAGTGAAACAAATTTGATTTAATAATAACATGACTTTTTAAAAAGCTCTACGTGCGACGTGTAAGTAAGGTGCATACCCACCATGCAACACTACACTATGCTACTGCCTAGCAATAGTAGCATGTGACATATTACAACCTACAACCTGGTACAACCTACAACATGGTACAACCTACCCATCATGCAACATGGTAAAACAACTTACCCATCATGCAACATGGTACAATCTACCCATCATGCAACACAGCACAACCTACCCATCATGCAACATGGCACAACCTAACCATCATTTTATTTTATTTTATTTTATGACGATTTACCACATTTGTGGAAGGATTGACATAACAGGTGACTATCACCTTTTCAAAGATGTCAAACCTGAGACCAGACTGTAATGTTTGAACCACTCACACCGGGAAGGTCCCCTACTCTTTTCGATAAGTGTGGTGGGTTCTTTAACGTGCGTGGGGTGTGGCTCTCCCAAACACGGGACCTCCATTTAACGTCCTATCCGAGGGACGTCCCTAGCCGAAGCTAGGTACTCATTTTCACCTGAGTGAAGTGAGGAAAGTCGTGTAAAGTGCCTTTCCCAAGGGCACAAGATCGGTGACATGGGCAGGATTCGAACCCACGACCTCTCGGGTGTGAGCCGAACGCGCTACCGACTGCGCCACACGACCCCACAAATGCAACATGCAACACAGCACAACCTACCCATCATGCAACATGGCACAACCTACCCATCATGCAACACGGACAGAGGGACCAGGTCCTTCAAGTTGAAGACAAGGGATTCTGGGATGGTTTTGTTGAACATCTTGACAGGAGGGGCATGACTGTGGGGCTGCAGACTGCCTCGGATCTGGGGATGGCACAGAAGTACAAACAAATTATGGTGTACATAATTTTGTAAATAGTTATACCATCATGGAGGTATAACTACCATGGTTATACATGTTAGTTTGCTACATAAAAGGTGAAGAGAGAGAAAAATCATATGTGACTTTTGAATCAGAACTTTCAAGTTTTCTGTAAAATATCTCCTTCTGGTACAATTGCAGTGGCTGGAAAAGCAAACACAAATTTTTTGAAGGAATAAGTTGCATTTTTTTGCACCAAGAGAGAGTGAATCTTTTTAGCTTGTCTGTCTGCCTGTGTGTGTACTTTTGGGGAAGAATGATCTGAAGTCTACTATCTCTAAAAGCAAAATTTCCCAACTCAGCTGGCACATGTCAAATGTTCCACACATAATTCGATTTCTAAAACTTCCTATATCATGACGACCGCTTTACGTCAGAGCAAGGGGTGGGAGGGGGGCAAGGCTTTACTTACGTACCCGTGTACCACGACTACGACGTGGCATATGACTACATAAAACAAACCACACCATTCCTTAAACACTTAGGTCCACTCAAACAACCCTGGAACCGCAGCTACTCACCTCCTTCAGCCGGAGTCTGACGACAATGTTGTTACTCTTTTTCAACTTGGCCGCCATTTTTGTTCCCATGCTCCACTGTGTTCTTTAGAAGCGCCACCTGTGGCATAATAGAGAACTGCAGGCAATACTGGTGTACTTAAAACTTGAATGAAACTTTGAGATTTGATTTTCATTTCTGTACCGTAGGCGTATTTGTTCGCTACCACTCTTTTTGTATAACAATGTTTCTGAGCATTCCAAATATGACAGAATATGTTACTACTGTAGTATGAATTGAAGGTTTAGCAGTAAAGTTAATGAAAACTAGAAAGGCCAATATTTGCTTTGGAGCAAATACAGCGATGGGTTCACCACATTTTACGACATGGCAGGGAAAGAATGGGAAACACAAGGGAAAACTATGATTTACATTGATATAACTATAATATGAAGTAAAATACAACTAAAACAACAGTTGGATAGCTATTCCCTACTTTATTGGTTAGGATTTTTAATTGCATAATGCAAACTGTTGATTTTCAAAATTAAAAAAAAACGTCCATGCCCGGCATTCCAATGCTGGAGCAGGAAAGCTTGAAATACCTACCAAAACACTTGAATACAGACATACTGTCAGTATGGAAATGCTTCTGTGCAGGTGTTAATCAAGTTAAATCCCAACAGCCAATCAGCAAGAAGTATAGAGGAAAGCTGCATGCCTATTGGTTGATGCCCTGCATTCCATTCTGATGACTCATGCCCAAACGTGGTAAACAAGGCAGACTAACACAGTAATACATTTGCTATAACACAGCCAAAAAACTCAAATAAAACCATTCTAAAAGCCTGTATCACAATAATTTAAAAAACGCCTAGGGGTATTTGCCCACTGTACCTCCATACCAAATTTCAGGACCTTAGGCCCTAAAATGAAGAAGCTGAATCCATTTAAAGATATGGCAGGAGGAGGAGGAGGAGGAGAAGAAGGAGAAGAAACATCAGAAAAAGCAATATGGTTTCACCACACCACTTCGTGGTGTGGTGAACCCATAATGACAATGACCATGGAGGTACCCCCATGCAATGACTAAGCATGACAAAGGCGACCACATTGAAATGCATTTATTGTATCACTAAAATTTCAGTGACAATGACGAATACAAAATATTTAATTCCATAGTAACAATAAACACTTTCCATTAAAACTGACCGGTGTGTCATGAATTAAAATGTCATACATCTTTCAACAATTTACCCCCCTCCCCCTTCTCTGGAAATATTAAATCAAAGATACTGGGCAACCCAAAGTGTGACTACAAATTCATTATCAATTCTGAATCATGTAAAAACACTAGTTCGACTTTCGAATTCCAAGTAACATAATGTCATTTTTATCTTCACTTGTGACTATCTACATGCTTAAAGCGATATTATGTAAGATTTTCACCATTTCAAACATTGTTATCTTACACATTTTCTTGTGATTTAAGACTACTTGGGTTCATAGTAACATTTGGGGACTAAAAGATCAATGTCGTTACGCCGCAAAAACGTGTTGGAAAACTGCCAACTCCTCGGCGTTAGCATGGATTGCGGCCATGTTGTTTGTTTACATTCTTTTTAGGAGCCTCCTAAAAATACAGCAGGCCTGATGCAACTTATTCTCGTGCTGCGCTGAGTCACTGAAAAAGTAAAATAGCGACACAAATATATTGAAAATGTAAATCTAGATGAGAAAATTTCAATTATTGATATTTACAGTTTTGGCTCAAAAATCTTAGATAATATCGCTTTAACAACAACAGAAAAATACTGGGTCTCCATTGATTATATCTATATTGCTTAATCATGTGGAGGATGGTCCCAATAGGAAATGGAGACTACATGTACATCACATGACATCCTTACATGAACAGATGCACAGAAGACTTGTTCTAGCAGCACACTGGCACAGACAGCCACTTTATACATTACAGTTTATCAATTACAAAAAAGGAGACAAGTTTGACATTAATACATTCATACTGGATTAACACAATTAGAAATTCTGTGCATAATATTCAAATAAGCTGGCAATAAAACCTTACATCTCCAAATCATACCACATTAGGAAAAATGGCTTTTGATAAACTTCAAACTTATTGCATTTTCCCTTACATTAACATACAAATGTTGAAACAGCTGAATACAACGTTGGTTTTCTGAATTATAATTTATATCATGCAGTGGGCTGGCCCAAACTGTCATAATATGTCAAAACTACCTCTAGGCCCAGGCACATTACACAGACTTGCACCAGATTACAACAGTGTTACAACTAGGGCTGCGGACCGGTACACTGTACCGGTCCAATACCGTAAAAATCGTTTCGGTACAGGTCCAAAATACCGGATCATGAAGTAACGAGTATATACCGAAATAGCTAGTTTACACCATGTATATGACTAAAGATAGGTAAATCCTACCACAAAGACGAAAAATTAGCACTGGAAAAGACGTAAACACCGTCGATTGATTTGAGATCCTCAGTCTCACGAGACATCGCGAGAGTGTGGCTGATCCAGGGTTGTGATTGGTCAACAAACTCAAATCAGGTCAGAGGTCAGTCATTTTCCCTTCCCTCCAACACTTTATTATTGTTTCTGTGTCATGATTGAAAAAGTGAAGAACACGTGTTAATTTGTCAAATTGTTCAGGTACAGGTACAGGTCCGGACCTGTACCTAAACCTCTGTACCAGTACCTGTACCTGTACCTGATGTTACGTTTAGGTACGCAGCCCTAGTTACAACCCTAGTGGTAGTCTTTACAATGAAGTACTAGTATAAACAATTACTTAAACTACAATCCTGTCTCATGTCCTGTGTATTCAAACTACCAGAGTATTTACATCTATTTACCATGTGGAATGGCAGCTGACATTGCCTTACATTATCTAAATTTAAAAAACAATATCATAGCAAATGCATCAACTTAAAGTGCTCAGGTATTTGGGTAAAAGTACTAAAACCATCATATTGTTTCAACAATTAGATGTCAGAATTTTTCTTGCTTTGTCCAGAAAAGAGCATAGTTTGATTAGTTTGAAAGGCTACAGTGTGATATCTAAATGTCTCATCAAAATGAAGCTTTGTGTTATTCCATCAAGAATCTAAAGGAAGCAAATAACCTTCTTTTTGTAAGGGTGACCTTTAACAACAAAGGTTATCAAATTAAAAGGTACAGGGGGTAAAAAACAGTTAAATGACTATCTCTCCTAAGATTTTGAAACAGCCTTTGCTGAACATACATTTTGCACAGATTAATTCTCACTATAAAAAGTGGCAGTACAACAATTTATAATATATTGTATGACATATTGTAACATAGCTAAGATTTAAAATACCTGAAACTTTAAGATCTATTCATACGATAAGATACCAAGGGCAATACACACAGGCCTTGGGCCTTGAACAAAGACAAAGACTAGAGATGACTTTGGCAAAATCAGACAGCATATTTTCAGCCCTATTATGTATCATTGTGGCTAAATTGCAGTCACCCTCTTCTAAACAGTGCACTCCCCTCTTCATCTACCATTGCCAACCAAAGTACAACAGAAACCAGCCACTTCCAATTTGTAAAGACACTAGGCATTGGGAAAATACAATCCATAAAGCCCTATAATATTTCAAGTTGTTGCTGACTGTACAATTGAGATTTATATGCTAATAAAACAGCATGCTTCGTTCTACATTATGGTATTTTCATGACTTAGATTTCATAGATATAGAAGTGTTTGACTTCAAGGATAACTCGATTTTCCAAACTCCCAGTGTCTTTTAAATTTAAAGTGATCAGTGTTAAAAACATGACGGTAGCTCATCATTGTTTCTCGCCATCCCCTGCCCCACCCTCTGTCCCATCCTTGGTGGGCGTGGCAGGAAGGGGAGGGGTTATGGAGGAAGTGGGCGTGGCTAAGTTGGGCGTGGCAGGGCAGCTGGATGTGGGCGTGGCCAGTGTGCTTGCAGTCTCCAGCTCCGACTTCTGGTTGATTTCTTGTAAGGTTTCTTCCCATGCTGACAGGCACTGTGGTAACGATAAATATGTACTGTGAGTTAATCAATGATAACTGTCACAGTGGTAGAAATACCTTTTTTTCAATGTTCTGCAATATTGCAGAAAGTCAAAATTTTGTTCTGCAATTTGAAAATACTTTGTCAATTCTTACTCAAACACATTCATATATACATATGGTCAGCCAGGAGTCTAAATCTCTCCTGCTATAAAATTGCAACATGATGTAACCCAACACCAGTTACCATGGTGACAGGCATCTGGTTCAGGTCACTGACCTTATTTGTTTGGAGAAGAAGAAGAGGAAGAAGAAACAAGAGTAAAAACAATATGTTTTCCTTCTGCAAAGTCAAATATAAAAAGCTGCCCACCTCTTGGTAGTACTGTATGTTTCTGTCACACAACTCAGAGAAGACCTCCTTGACGTCTCTTCTTTTGTTCCTGTGCCAGCGCTCCAGGTCTGCCTTCAGGTCAGCGTTAGCACACTCCACACTGTCGTTACTCACCTCAACCTGCTTCAGGAGCTGGGTAAACAAAGTGTGAAAAGTTAAAGTCCTTCCCATACGCAAGTTATGTTTCACACATTTTCCAAACATGCAATGTTACATGTACCTATTCCAGATACAGTTCACAAATAATCACTGTGTGTATATGTGTATGTCCTACCTCCTCTATTTGTGTATCCAGCTTGGTTCTTTTCTGCTGTCTGACTTCCTCCGGGTCCTTCCCCAGAAAAGCCCCAAGTGAGTAGCTTTGGTCTGACATCTTCAGCTGGTGGGCAAAGGTAAAAAATTAAAGGTCATCTGATATTCAGCCACATGTCGACTATACATTTGCACCATCATATACTACATATACCTTTGAATGGAAAGTTCCCAAACCCCATGTATTACCACCAAAATCATATCCAGTTGCTTGAGTAACTGCTTTTTGGCGTATCGTATTGCCTGGATGTCTAACCTTCATCGACATACCCATGTAATATGTGTATCTGTATCTATATAGCCAGTATATATAACCGCCCTTCGGCGTAACTCACCAACACATGGAACAATACACAATCTCTTGAAAGCACGTTGGCAGAACGTACTGCACCGGTGCAAACCCCCCATTTTTCACGGTTTTCGTTCGATTGCATCAGCATTTTGCCTGTTGCAGACAATCTTTTTTTCTTACATAACATTTGGAAACTACAGACAGAATGTTAACCTTATATACGTAAATACGACCTTATATGAGACTGCCAAAGTGCTATGTACAATGCATTACAGGTTTCACGTGGGTGCAGTACGTCCTGCCGACATGTTTATTCAGTCCCATGTAAAATACACCATCATACACTCCATATACACTTGAAGTAAGTTCCCAAACCCCTTGTAATATCACATGAAACAGTACATAATCTCTTGGCTGTGCCACTAACCTGTTCTCTGTCGTTTCTCTTCCTGTTGAGTTCCTCTATTGTTAGTTCATACTCCATCTGTATGGAGTCCCTCCTCTTCAGTACTGCCTATAGATAACAACACATATCTACATGTCAGTTACAGCTCCACTACTCACATGTTATGCATACAGAAGTAGGCATCTTTTTATCTTGAGATACATAATATGATACAACAAATATGTAAAGAGATTTTTACTCATTATGAGTCGTACATGCATCTCCTTTCCATAGTCTAAGACTAAAGAGCAAAAAAAAATGTAAAGACTTTCCTTCTATTGCAGTCTACTTAAACTAGGCAATATAACCAGCAGCACTTCATAATCTTTATTCTTATTTTTGTATGTTTTAAGGTCCGTAGTTGGGTTGGGATATCAAGGATCAGTCAAACACACCACATCTCAATGCCAACATTTATTTCCAGCCCCTCACAAAGGCCTCCACTTCTCAAAACCAAACTCCAGATGCAACTGCTACAACTTAGTACAAGGCACTCGGCCCTCACCTGACCCTTACTGGGCCCTACCATTTGTTACTAGTGTGAAAGGGTATGGGGTTGCCCCACTTCAACCTAATCTAACCTACATAACATCTTACGTGAACAAAAAAAAACGCTGACCTTCATGGCCTCTGCGTACAGTATGTACTCCTTGACGGGGGGTGCAAACACGTGTTCCTGGTCGCTGATCTGCTGCTCCAGGGCCTTCTCACACTTCTCCACACCGCCCGCCATACCCAACATGGCGGGGGCCAGCTCTGTCTCCGAGTTAGACCACAACGTGAAGACTGGCCCAAACTCACGCAGGTCCTGCTGATAATCTGGGGATGGATCATAACAAATCTTTATAAACTACATAGTACTGTCATGATTTTACTATTGCAGTGGGCCATATATTTTGTAAGTTTCCAGGTGTTGCTCTCATAATATTTTCCTCGCCTTCATATGAAGGAAAAGAAATAATACGTAACTTTCTTTAACTCTTAAAACTGACCTGTCATCTCCTTGAGAAGTCTCTGGTTGATTCTGTCAATGGTGCCCATCTTGGCCCCAAATGTGTTCACATACTCCTGCAACATGAAAAAAAATGTAACATTAAAGAAATTTATTACTGGTTACTTTGCATCTGAAAAGACACTGGGCATCTAGAACAAGAATGTATGTTAATCTGCTAGTCAATATACAGCACAGTCTTAAAAGTGCATGCTTTCTATCTAATACACTAAGTATATCTCCTTTCTGTCTTAACCTTTCTGACTACAGAAATATTTGACTTTAGGGTTTCACAATGTTAGACCTTACTTATTAGCTTTACAATGTATTCCTACCATACAATTCCATACAAACAGTACATCCCTCCCTCATGTTGCTGTGCTAAACAGCCCTCGTACCTGCATGGTGGCATACTCTGGGGAACGGTTCTTCAGCATGTACCCTGCCGCCATGCTACGCATCGAACTCCCCATCTTCCCCATGATGCCCTGCGCCTGTTTTCGGTGTGACGCCAATTCCTATATATACAGATAACAGAATATATATCCAAGTAGTTAGCATATCTGTAAGGCCTCTAAGGGAAAAAATGTTGACTTTCCTGTTTCCCGACTGACCCTAGAAAAAACTGCCAACCCTAGCATTTTTTGGGTGGAACCCTGCAAAGGGACATAAATTTTTCGAGCTGATTGACCCTTTCTAGCTCCATGACCTGACACCTGAGTGATGAAATGTTGTACAATTGGTTTTCCAACATTGACATTGAGATATATAAGTTATATTTGACATTGAAAAATAAGATTATCCCTACCTACCGACCCTAATTTTTTCAGAACTGAAACAGGAAACAACATTTTTGCCTAACGACATTCTATGTTAAACATGTCAATACAGTTTGTCAAGGTATTCAGCATAGCATTCTTGCCAAGAGTTACGTGAATTATAAGGATCTTTCACGAGATGTTAATATAAAGATCTGTTAAGACTCTCAAGAAATACCATGTTATAAAGTTATATACTGTGGTACATGTATCTTGTCAGTCATTGCTACATGTCTTCAACTGAGAGCTACTTAAAACAACAATCATGAATCAAAAATCAAACTTCTACAAACAAGGGAAGGCAACTTGCGAACATTGCACAAACCACAGAGATAACTGAAGGGAAAATAATAATTTACAGAAAACTACATCTAGGTGCCAGCGCAGGTGTAGAGTGTGACTTGGAAAGAACACAAGGAACAAAAAATGTAGATCACTGAACAATTACAACAAAATCACAAGACGTCATTTTTAGACATGACAATCGAAATAATCAACAATTGATTTTAGGGAATTTGAAAATCACAAGGTCAGGTAGGAATGCACACAGAGCACAGAAAACCAAACCTTTTTAAAACATTCAACAAAGGAGCAGGGGAGGGGATAGTGCTGTGTACCTAAACCCACATTCAGGTTTAGGTCCGGATTCAAGTCTAGAGGTTAAGGTTCAGTTCCAGACTTGTAAGTCCGGACCTAAACCCATGGCATATACGAAATTGCATATTGGCAACCTTGTAATGTTGTTTGGGCAAAACTTTGGCCACATGACATGAAGGCTGACACTTGACGATGCCCAATGGCAATGTTTTCTTCATTTTGCAGCACAGATTTTGCAATCAATGGAAGGTTTTAGGTGGTTTGGAAAGAAAAGGGGTACGTGATATGGGTTTTTCTTGTAATAAGTCCAGAATCGGTTCTTGACTTTCAGTTTTTTTGGGACTTGAACCTAAACATTTTTACAAGTCTGGAATCGGTCCAGCGAACTGGTACACAGCACTAGGAGGGGGAGCTGAATGCTTTTGACATTGTTCAGTAGAGACAGTGTTTTGTTTTTATCACACAGACACCTGAACTATGAAGCATCCGTTACCCATGCCTTAGCTGTCAGGAAGATGGTCAGATTCTCGTTAAACGACAGCGTGGGATGGTCCACGATCCGCGACAGGAACTTTTGCAGCGCCGCCTGGCGAGTTTTCAGGAACTCCGGGCTGAAGCGGTCCAAACGACGGAAGGAATGTTTCTCGGGGAGGGGCTGCAAGGAAGGTGGAGAAAAATTAAGTAGAGGTTTGCAAACTAAAAGTTGCAGTACAGGGTGGTCAGAAAATATGCCTCCCAGAACGTTTTGAAAAGAAGAGTCTTATAATTATGTGCAACATCTAACTATTTTTTCCAATGATTGTCTCTTAAGGCAGTATTAGCTAAGTATCACATGTTTCTGGAGGTACCTAAGCTAAGGAGGTACCTAAGCTGAATGCTTACAGAAGGAAAGCATATTGTTTTTTCCCTGTATCTTCTTCCTCTTCTTCTCCAAACAAATGAGGTCAATGACCTGAACGAGATGTCTGTCACCACGTTAACTAGTGTTGGGTTACATCATGTTGCAATTTTATAGCAGGAGGGATTTAGACTCCTGTCAACATGAATGTGTTTGAATAAGAATTAACATAACAAACCATATGTGAAGGTAAACATTATGCATTTTCTTTGCAAAAGTTTAACCTTTCTAGTTGCCTACATATCTACTTGTACCAGTACCAAACATAAGAAAGGGGTCCTCACGGGTATAAGGTGAGTTGGGTTGGTTGCCTCGAGTCGTTCTCGCAGCCACAGGAAGTCCTGGTAGCGCCGGCGTACAACGTACTCGTGGGAGTCATAGTCACTCCGCGTCGTCTGGGGAGGAAACATGCGAGTTGTGGGAATTGTGGGTTAAGCATCTTGAGTAGCTAAATTCATGTTTAGGTTGAGGTCCAGTTTAGGTTCAGGTCCTTACTTTTAAGTTATGCATATACAAAATTGCATGTTGGTTAACATTTTGTAGTGTGCAGTGTGCATCAGGGATTAGAAGCAACATATCAAAATGTATTGTTTGCACAATACATTTTGATATGTTGCTTCTAATCCCTGATGTTTCTGGGTGAAACTATGGCCACATAATTACGAATCTAGACTGACACATTACAATGCCTTGAGGCAATGTTTTCTTCACTTTGCAGTGCAAATTTTTCAATGTATGGAAAGCTTTAGGTGGTTTAGAACGAAAAAGGGAATGTGACATGATTTTCTTTTTTTGGATGTCGGGTTCCCAATGTTCAATTGCTTCTTTTCTTAAACCTAAACATTTTTACCAATCCAGTGAACTGGTACACAATACTTATATTGGGTGTAGGACAAAGGCTAGCAATAATACATGATGTTAAATGTCTGTTTTAATACATAATTTCAGGATGAAATAGGACCGTACCTTAGTGGTGACCCTGTAGGTGATATAGGACTCCATGTTGGTGATGTGTTTCTCAGGGTCATCCACGGTCACAAACAGGTCATGCACATCCGAGGCCAGGGCATCGTCCAATCGCAGGCCAGCGAGCGACGACTGGGTCAACGCCGTGATGTCATCTCTTGTGGACTTTGCGTCACCCTGGTTTGAACAGGAGAAAACGGGACGGTTCAGTTTAAGCCTGGTACAACAGACTGATACACCCTCTTGTACCACTCTACTCTGATAATATCTCTAGCCAGTGTTAGAAATACTGCAGTCTACATTTTGCAGAGACATTTTCAATGTTGCAGAACAAAAATTAAGCAACCTGCAATTTCGCAGGCTGAAAAAATCAGGCTAGGGGTTCAACATTGGTTATTGTGTTTACTACTAAACTGATAATATACAAATAGGTTTGAATGTATTTTTCAAATTACATGCAATTTTGCGTATGATATGGTTTAGATCCAGACTTTTAAGTATGTATTTGCAGAAAGTATTTCTGAATTGCAGAACAAAATTTTGACATTCCGCAATATTGCAGAACACTGCAAAAAAGTTTTCCACCACTGCTAGTCAATGTACTATGTAAGACAAGAGTTACCTCAAGCTATCTGATTGCTTAATGGCCATCCCATAAAATTAAGAAAGTTATTGTTTAATAACCTGCAAGACTAGAAAATCAACATATTAAGATCATGAGTTTACAGGGATTTGTATACTTATTAACTAATTATATTAAACATTTGCTTTATCATTCTGCCTATAACTGTCTCAATGGCAATACAGTCATACAAATTTGAACACACATCATGGTGAATTTGAATGGTTGTTTCAAGTGTTGATTCATTGAGGATTGTGCTGTTTTTTTGCCCTTCTGTATTAAAAGCAGTTTTACCCCTCCATCTGTTTCTGCCTGTCTCAATGACATACAAATAGTCATACAAATTTGAACACACATTAAGATAAATTTGATTGGTTAGTTCAAAAATAGTTGGTTGAAGTGTTGATTCATTGATTGGTTGATTGTGCTGGGTGTTTTTGTTTTTTTTTCCTTCTGTGCTGAAAGCAGTTTTACCTCTCCAGCATCTGTAAACAAAGTGTAGAAAGACCTGGGGGTGGGGCCACAATCAAGAGGTGTCTGAGGGAGTAGAAGGCATTATAATAATATAAATATAATGCATGAAAAAGTTATTATTACACTTTCTTACAAATTTCATTACATTGTTTTGTTGCTGCTTGTGGCACACCAATTTTTCTTTAGAAACATGATACACTTTTTGCCAGTGTTCTTTATTTAAAGTGCAGTTAAATAAACATTTTTCAAGTCATAAAATTGTGGTTATCATCAATGAGAAAGACAAAGCCGTAATTTAATAAAACAATGCTCATTATGTCAAAATTTACTCGTATGATAAATGAAATGCAGCCACATTAGGCTTAGCTTTGAAATATGGAAGATGCACAAATATTATATCAAACTGACATATGATATATATTTGAGTGGAAATGTTGGTAGTTTCAGTACATAATTTATTGTCAAAGTATTATCTATGCACAATGACCATAGATGATAACAAAATGTGTAATTTATTGCGTTAAGATTTTTTGTTGTGGGTGATAAAAAAGCGGTCTACAGTACATGGGTAAATTTACATTTCAGCCTCTTGTCTTTGGGATCAGGTGCAGCTTTGACACCTATGCTTTGTGCTGGGGTCACCCTGGTGCACACGACAATTCCAGCCCCTCCCTACCTCTGCGCCCATGTCCAGCGATTCCTCCAGGTCCACGGTAGATGTGGTGATGTTGAGCGGGTCAATGTCCGGAGAAATCGGCCCGCTATAGCCACCTGGACCGCTGGGCTGACCCTCAGAAAATCCACTGTCCGTTCCGTCCGCCATCTTGGTGCATACGTCACCCAGTTGTCCTATGTGTTCTTCTGAATGCCTAAAAAGAAATGAACATCAGTTTACCTTGTTGGTCAAATTTATGCCTAAAACGTAACAATTTCATCCGTTTAAAACTTAAATTCTACTTGTTTATGTACAAAAATTCATTCAAAAGAGTTAAAAAAACAATATAATTTGGTAAATAACCTAAAAATAAAAGGCACACATTTATGAAACAATGAACACAATATTTGGGTCCTTCAGTTTGCAGGTGATTCGGACGTGATCTTGGTTGGTTTGTGAAATGAATTGACAGCTGAAATGAGTGATCTTCGTGGTTAAATGCACCTGAAAACACCTGGGTTTTGGTGATACAGGTCTCTGATAAGCTCTACACCATAGTTTTTTGGACAAATGCTATATAATTTCTTAGTACGTAAACGTACGGACAGAGGATTCATCAAACCAAACTGATTCAAAAGATTTTAGCAGAAATTCCTAGTAGTATATATGGCTTCAACCAACCCTAATTCTCAAGGTAGGACAAGACTAAAGGCATACACGTGGTCATATTACATGCTAACGGGTCATTGCAACTGTATCTGAGTTTGCGTCCCTGACAATACATGTAATTAATGTCAAAAATATGTATTAATGCATGATGTCAGCCATTAGCTTATTTTGTAATTTCTCAGTCAGCAACTTGAGATAGAACAATAAGCTGGTGTCAGCATGCACACATTCTGCATGACATGTAATGTTACATGTTCTGTACTTCTTTGTTAACAGCTGCTGCACCCAACAGTTATACATATACGTACAACTTTAGTGTATATTGATTCATGTATATTGTTGAGCTCTTATTATATAAGGCAGGGTGTCAGAGCTCAATATTGCATTTCACGTTTTCCAGAAGTGCAACAAAACCGCTCCAAAATCCTGGCTGACCTTCAGCAGCAGAAGAAGAAGCTCATGCAGAGGTGAGTGAAAGGTCATCAAGTCAGAGGTCAAGTTTAGAGAAAAGCATCATGTCATCTAGGTCACAGGACATTTCAATCTTGACCTAAAGATGTGCACATGGGTATTGATATGTTACTGTGGCAATAAAAACTGTCAAAGTCTTTTCCTCTATTATTCAAACTCATACATATTTTTTTTTGTTCAATCATAGGAAAGAGCCTACAGGCATCAGGGACCAGATGGAAGTGCAACATATGAATCAGGCACAGAGACAGGCTTTACAGGTAAACATGCATGCACGGCAGTCAGACTTTACAGCTAGGCCACTGGGATATAAGCCAGGCAAAAATAGTTATTACAGTGGTATGTGTAAGTGGATACATTCATGCCCATTACTTCTTGTCATTTAAATCGTAAAACTGATGTAGGACAAAAATGTTGAAAGGTAACCTTTGCAAAGCAAAATGCATAATGTTCACCTTCGCATGTGGTCTGCTCTATTGATTCTTACTTAAACACATTTATATATATGGTGACAGGAGTGTAAATCCCTCCTGCTATAAAATTGCATACAAACCCAACACTAGTTACTTTGGTAACAGACAGTCTGGTTCAGGTCATTGACCTTTTTGATTTGGAGAAGAGGAAACAGAGCAAAACATTGTTTTCCCTTGATAGACATAATTAATTAAGTTACATTTTGTTATGAAGATTACCTATTTCTTATAATTTCTTTTAATGTCTTTGTCTATGTACAGAATTTATTGCTGAAGGTCTACATGTATGTATTAACATGATACTCAATTTTCCCCTTGCAGCATGCCCATGCCAACTCCTTTGGCTACTTTGTGCCTCAGGACTCTTCATTTGGAAACCTGATCCTCCCAGTTCTACCTCGAGTAGAGGACAGCCCCCCGCCAACATGATACTTGCTACATAGCTCTCCAAGCAGATGTTGGGAGGGATGATTGTAATGTTGTCTGGCTCCCCCTCCCAACATTATATTCCATCCACAGAGCCATCTCCTTTCAGAAATGATCCTGGATAAGTTGTCACATTGATAAAACTTTCCATTATGCACATACATGAAAACAAGCCCTAAGTAAGCCTCCGTAGCAGGCTTATAGAACTGGTGGTTTGGTGGTCTTCGACTGTTTTCTGATCAGCCCAGTTCTAAACAGGGGTAATTCAATCAGGCCAGCTATATTGTCTATATGCAATCAGAAAATAGCACATTAAAGCTCCCAAAGACCCTGAAGGCCCCAAAACCCCCAGTTTTTGGTTACATAATGCTATGGAGGCTACCCTAAGTAGACCTATACAGTCATTGTCTAGAATCTCGAGATGTAACACACTTAATGTCAGATTTAGCTTGTTACCACAGTGACAGTTGTCAACATGTATAGCTCATGGCAGAACATGAACATAAAGTGTGCTGCAGCATTATTTTTTGCACAATGTAATTCACTAAGTCTAACATTTATAAAATGTTAAATTTGCCTGTTAAAGTTACAGAAGTTTAGGACAGTACAGTATATGTGTTAACATTGTTTCCTGTGTTCTAACTTGTTTTGCATGTCCACTATTAAATATGATGTTACTAATGTATCTCAAATGCAGGTAATCTCTAAATTACACATTATTACATCAAGGAATCCCAGAAATCATGGAATATGTATAATAAAAATTTAACTGTGCAATGATGTGTCACTTTTACCCATATGATAGAACAAGAGTCTTTAAGATCAGTTTGTCATGTAGTGGTAGGTGTTGAGGCTACATTGTATATGCATCAAGATTTAATAGATTTGTACAATCATTTCATGTTTTGTACTACATCCTTGTAGAGAAATCCTGGACCAGACTATGAAATGTAACTGTATTTGTAGCAATTTGCTCAATAATTATCAATGTTCAAATAAGTAACAAATATCCCTTTACTCCATCCACTCTTTTGTAATAAAGATAACTCATTTTATACCATTGAGTTTGACATGTGTCACTTCAATATTGTGATGAAAAGAGATATAATAGATATATGATGACAATATATCCTAGATCAGGCAGGCTGCTGCTTAATGTTGAACAGGTTAACTTAAAACCAAGCAGTTTAAGGCAGTTTAGTGAGTGGATGTTTTCTTATGTTTACCGAAGGAAAACGTTTTTGCTCAGTGTCTTCCTCTTCTTCTTCCAAATAAGGTCAATGACCAGGACCAGATGTCTGTCACCATGGTAACTGGTGTTGGGTTACATAATGTTGCAAGTGTCATGCAGAACTGAATTCATGGGGCTGCAGTTTGCTGTGTTATAATATAAATGAGATTGAGTAAGTGAAGGTAAACATTATGCATTTGCTTTGCAAATATTACTTTCTAGTTTGTATTACATTTTACAATGCACATAGAATGCCAAATTTATGTTATTTGCACATCAACACATTGAAATCTAGTCTCATGCCACATTCCATCTGAAAAACTACAAAATGTCCTACAGCAAAAATGATTTGCTCAGCGCATGATTTACTACTGAAGGTAATAGAACTAGGCCAGCCTCACTCTGGTGCGGGATAAACAAGATGGCGACGTGAAGGTGGGAGGGCGCACAACGATGGCAGTGGACAAATCTCTTCCAGTCGAGGTTTCCCCTCCTAGGGAACACGAAATCATGGATCACATGGGACACATGGACGAGATGCAATTTATCAACGACGAGGAAACCGGGATACCGTTTTTCCATCGCGTGGACTCGGCAGATTTGGTCTTGTACGCGCCGCGAAAAAAGCGAGCGAAAATGATAGGGAAGTATCTGATGGGTGACTTGCTGGGGGAGGGGTCTTACGGAAAAGTAAAAGAAATGCTGGATTCGGAGAATCTGTGTCGAAGAGCCGTGAAGATCCTCAAGAAGAAGAAGCTGAGGAAGATTCCAAACGGTGAACAGAATGTTAAAAGGTGGGTAAGACGTCTCCGTTTGCGAGGTAAATAAAGTTCTTGTCCCTTTTTTAGGACGCGCCCACCATCAGTAAACAAACATGCTTTTTGGTTCTCCACTGCCGTCCATGCCGTTTTGGCATGCAGTTTTTACAGCAATATTCCAACTAATTTGCCATGACAAATAGTGTAATTTCTTGCAGTTTAAAATTGTATACTTTGTGGTGGTTTTGATTGAAGAACAGACCAGTTTTGAGGCCAGAAAATTATTAAGATCGATCTCGTTCTCTCATGGAACAGAACATGCACGTGCCCCCCTCCCCACTCAAGTCAGAGGCACATGATTTTTGGTACAGAAATAGACGACAGCACCACAAATTATTTGCCCACACTATTTGTTCAAAGAATATTTCCCATTTACTTAAACACACTTCTTCTTCTTGCGTACTCTCTAACCACCCCTACTGGGGTATCACTGAGAGGGGGGGGGTGCGACGGACTATGGCTGCGCGGCCAGAAGCCCGGCCTTGAAGGCCTCCACTGTCTGGGCTTTTACAAGCTGGCCCGGTAACTTGTTCCACTCATTTATCGTTCTTGGAAAAAAAGAAAATCTAAAACAGTCTGTTTTGGCAGGTATTGCTTGATACTTATATTCATGACTTCCTCTGGTACGCCTATGGGCAGGTTTGAGGTATTGTTCCATTTGGATATTAATATGTCCATGAGTAATTTTATACAAAGATATCAAGCGAGCGGTTCTCCTTCTGTCAACAAGTAACGGCCACTGGAGGCGCTTTAGCATGTCAGAAACACTGCTGGTATAGTCATAATCACTAACAGCCATTCGCGCCGCCCTTCGTTGGACTCGCTCCAACGCCTGGGAACCACCGATGGTGTGGGGATCCCATACAGTCGCACAGTACTCCAGGTGTGGGCGTACAAGTGTTCTGTAGCATGTAGATTTGACACGAAGAGGACAGTGCGAAAGGTTACGGCGGATGACTGCCAGTATCCTATTAGCTCTACCAGTGACATAATTTATATGTGTGTCCCATTTCATATCCTGTGATAGTTGGACTCCAAGATATGGATGGGTTTTAACACTAGTAAGATTTTCTGAACATAATCGGTATTGTGTAATAATCGGGTTTCGCTTACGAGTAATATGAAGTGTGTGGCACTTTGAGGGGTTGAAGGACATTTGCCATGTGTCCTGCCACCGGGTCAGTGCATCGAGATCTTTTTGTAGATCAAGAGCATCTGAGGGTTTTTCAATAACCCGGTACAACAGGCAGTCATCGGCAAACAAGCGCACACTAGAGGTCACAACACTCGGAAGATCATTGATATAAAGGAGAAACAAAAGCGGACCCAAAACAGTGCCTTGCGGTACTCCAGACACTACCTTGGCGGGCTTAGAGGCCACACCATCAAGGACAACTGATTGGGTTCTTTGAGTGAGAAAAGCTTGCAGCCATGTTAGTAATTTGCCAGAAATGCCATAGTGCTGGAGCTTATTCAGTAAGCGGCTGTGGGGGACCTTATCAAAAGCTTTACTGAAATCCAACACAATGGCGTCGACCTGCTTATTTAGGTCTAGAGTACTAGCCAAGTCATGGGTTGTCAAAAGTAGTTGACTCTCACATGATAGTCCTTTACGAAAACCGTGCTGTGTCGAAGATAATATATTATATTTGTCAAGGTGGCTCATGGTATGGCTATGTATAATATGTTCCAAAACTTTGCTACAAACTGAGGTGAGTGACACCGGCCTGTAGTTAACAGGTGAGGTTTTATCTCCCTTCTTAAAGATGGGGCTAATATTAGCGGCTCTCCAATCTGCTGGGACGTCGCCGGTGTCTAGTGACTGTGTAAAAATAACCTGTAACACAGGTGCAATTTGGGTTGCTGTGATTTTTAATAATCTTGGTGAGAGTCCATCTGGGCCCGAGGCCTTGTTGGATTAAGCTTAGAAAGCTGTTTAGCGACACCATTCACCGATATGTAGAGAGGTGGTGCGTGCGGAGCCACAGGTCTCCCTAGGGATGGGGATGTTGGTTAGGTCCTCCTCTGTGAAGACAGAACTAAACTGATCACCCA